AAACAAAAAAAAAAAAAAAAAAAAACGATGATTATAACGATTTTTGTAAATGCAAATTTTTCTTTTTTTTATAGCGTCAAAACTTAACATATAGAATATAATATAATAATATTATGTGAAATATATTTGAAAAAAAAAAAAAAATAAAATAAAATAAAATAATAATAAAAATATCCAAAGACGAGAGAGTGATTTTTAAATTGTACGTCGATTATCGAAACAACAACATTATACGCAGGCGTGTAATGCGCTTGTAAAATATCATTACGCCCGAGGAACTGTACGGGAAAAAAAAAAATAAAAAAAATAATAATAATAACCAAAGGCGTCTAGTCGACTTTCGTAAGCGAATTATTTCGTGCCCCGTGAGTAGCCCTGCAGCCTTATACCGTATTTATTACCTATAGTATTATTTTTTTTTTTCTGTTTTTTTTTTCTCCCGTACAGGTTCGATCTCAAACAATCGCAATAATATATTATCGTTATTGTTATTGTTTTATGTTATAATATATTGCGTATGTCCCGTTTAAACGCGCGCTTATTATATTGTTACGTTGCGTACAAACGGTTCGCAGTACGTGCGTACAATAATATAATAAACTATTGCGTTAAACAGCATATGCCACTGGATATTATTCCGCCTTTGCGTTGGTCGCCAGACGATTGAGCACCAGCAACCCTTGACCCGTCGCCACCGCTAAGAGATAGTGCAGGGTAAGGGTTGCCTCGCGCGTTTTTTGGACTGCTCGGGTGTTCGTCGAAATCGTCGTACTCGCTGTCTCCGTCCTCGTCGTCGTCGCCGTCGCCGCTGTTGTCGTTGTCGCCGATACCGGATCGCGCGTAGTCGTCGCCGTCGTCGTCACCGTCGTCGACGCCGTCGCTGCCCCCGCCGCCGTCGTCGTCGTCGTCGTCGTCGTCCAGACAGGGCGCCAGCATCAGGCCCCCCTGGTCGTTGAGCCACTTGGTCACCGCCTCGGTGATGGGTCCCGGCGGCGGCGCGGAATGATGGACCGCCCTGGCCGTCACCCCGGGCGACGACCCCGGATCGGCCGACTCCCCGGACGACGACTGCGGCGTCTGCGGCAGCGGCGCCGGCGGTTCGTCTTGCCGGATCTCGTTCTCCGTGTCGGAATTGCCGGTGTTCACGGCCGTCACGAACGTCTCCTCCTCCACGGACTCGCACGAATCGACCGACTGCGTTTTAGTGAACTTGAACTGCACGTGATCCGTAGTGGTGGACCGGGGCGTGCACTCCAGCGAACAGAACACCTCTTCCTGTATCCAGTCCCCGGCGTCCGGGTTTATCGACAGGCCGTTATGGACGATCTCTTCCCGCGTCACCTCGTCGTCGTCGTCGTCGTCGTCGTCGTCAGCCTCGAGCGCTGTCGGTTGACATTCCCTGGCCAGTTTGGTCGCGTCCGACTTTTCCGATTCTTGTTTGCACGAGTGGTTTTTACCCTTTTTGGCGGCGTTCAGTTTTTTAATGATGGCCGGCTCTTTGGCGATCTTTGACGATTTCTTACTACCCTGCTCGTGGTGGTGGTGGTGGTGGTGGTGGTGGTTCTTTTGCAACGAGTCTTTGCCGGCCGCGGTTTTCGCTTTGACGGTCGCCGACTCGGCCGCGGCCGCCGCTTTTTCCCGCTGTTTGCTCTTCTTGTTCCTGCTCTTCTTGGTGGCGCCCGCGGTCGTCGGGGCCGACGCGGTCGCACCAGCCGCCTGTCCGGACGCGACGCCGGCGCCGTTGGCGGCCTGTGGCTTTTCGTGCAGTTTACCGTCCGGCTGGTGACCCCCTTTGACCATCACTTCGCTGTTCGGCGAGCTAATGCCCGAGTCCGAGTTCTCCGCCGAATAGGAAGCGGCGGCCGGTTCGGCATCGTCCTGTTGACGTGCGTCTGTCACCTCGTCGGCCGGCGACTGTTCTTCGGGTATGACCTGGTAACCGATCGCGGCCTGCTGCTGCAGTTGGTGGTCCGCGGCGACAACGCTGTGATGATGGTACTGCGGTATCGGCTGGTAGTACGCGGCCATTTGGTGGTCCGGATGATGGGGGTGCACCAGGAACGGCGTCCCGTGCAGGATCTCGAACGGCTGCGCGCATTCCATGTGGAACGGCGGCGCGCTGTGGGAAAGCTGGACGGGTATGACGTTCACGGGTGTCGAACCGCCGCTGTTGTTGGTCAGCACGCCGGAATCGGAAGTCTTTTCGGAGTCTATGACGTGATCGCTGCTCGCGCCCGATTGGCTCTTTTGTTCTTCCGAACTCGAGTCTGAATATTCGTCGTTTACCTGTAACGATTAACATACATTAGATTCGGAGCGTAACGACGTAAGGGATCTATTTTCGGTTTTACTATCTAGGACCTAAGGGGGTTTTTTTTTTCCATCTGTAGATAACTTTTCGACCGGAAAACCCGCTTCAATCGAAAAATGGCATTTTTTTTTTAACAATTCGAATCTAGTTGGCGAGTTAGAGAGTCGGTTTTTTTTTTACTTGAGTGTAGTTTTTATTAAATAACGTTTTGAGTAACTAGTAAAGTTTAAGGTAATAATGATTTCGTTAGAGTAAATCAGTATAAAGTAATCGTATGGACTTGACATTTTATGGCATTATATTGGCATTTTCTAGACGTGGTCGAGTTTTCAATACATTCCGAAACTATTTTTCAGCTATTTTTAGGCATTTTATATTTTCTAGCTTTTTTTTTTTTTACGAAGTTGTTCTTTAGTGGGTACCATGTAATGCATAAAACATCTGTTTGACCAGGCAGTAATACTTGAAAATTTAACACGAGGTTCATTATAAGTCATACTTAGGGATACAGTTGAGCGTAAAATAGGAGTTTATTTTTAAAATCGTTGTAAAATCGAATGGAATTCAATGGAAATTATAAATATTACGAAATTTCGAAACGTGACTATAACTAAACTTCGCTCGGAATCGTACTTCGTTGGCAATGGTTGATCGTTGATTACAGATATAAGTTAAGTAGCCTTGTGTATCCTATTTGGAGTGGGGATCGGATCCGGAAGAGACTCCGAGGTGAACCGATCAATACCGGGGGAGTCACGGGAGAGACGGTGGCCGCGGCGGCGGAAACGATTCTGAGGGTATTATTGTTAGCTCGTGCAGACGCCTGCAGAGTATTTCTCCGATTTTATTCATTATTATTAGTTTCGCGGCTATTTAAAAATAATTAATTTGATTTCACGTGGGTACGCTCGCAATTAAAAGTAATTTGTAATTGCAAAACAGAATAATAATAATAAAATAATTGTCTAGCTATATAATATTTATTAAACGGCCGCGATTGCGTACGTAAAACACATTTAAATATTCCATTGCGATATTTTAAATGTATAAATAATTGTTATTCGATATCGAATTCTGCGATACGTATATATATATATACGTATATTCTCGGGGCGTGTTAGAAGTTTTATTTTTAAACTACATTATTGACCTTTGAATTTCGGCTTTTAATTCTCTTGGTATCCCATAAACGTCGGGGAGAGTAGAGTAATGCGGTGGGCGTTTGCCAGAGAGTAACCGATTCCTTTTTTTTTCTTCTTCTCCTTTCGAAATGTCATTTGTAAGTTATGTACACGTGCGTATTTTCCGATCGGCATGCCGTTTAAAGGTATACATATTTTCACAATGTTATAATCCCTTTGAACAGTACGGTTAATGCATTTTTTGTTTTCATCGGAGAAATATTGCGCGAAACGACACGACGACGGCGTGAGGAAATACCATTACCGAAATGAAGTCCGCTTATTATTATTTCTAGTTTTCTTACTAGTATCCCATGCTCGGTTTTATCTACCTGTATAGTCTATATGTATTATAAAGCAATACTTACGCCTCCTCGCTTTCTACGCTTTTTTTTCTTGCGTCGCTTCCCGTTGGCGTAATCGCTGCAGCTAATCGAAGGCGACGGAGGAGACGGTAGCTGTGGAACTTGTACGTTGGCGCCTGTAACATCGAAAATCGAAAATTATTATGTTACGAACGAATTTCGATCTAGCGGTTTAAAACACTGTTTTTAAGTGCGATAAAACGAGAGACGACAGGTCCCCGGTATTCATGACCCAATAGACACCAAAGGCCGTTTTCAACCGTCTAAAAAAAAAAAATCTATGCTCGACTATTAAACAATATAAATGTACGTACGCTGTAGCGATTAACAGTGGCATAACCAGGGAATTAAAAACTCCCCCTACCCCCATCGCCCCACCCCGGAATTTGAGATTTTTCACGAATTTTATGAATTGCGAATAAAGTTGCATAGTTTCGTATAGCGATTATCGACATTTTCTTGTACTACGCGTATACACGCGCGTTATGCGCTTCATAATTGTTATCCCGAAAATCCGTCCGGAAGTGTGTTTGAAATTCATTGTGTCTACCTCGGAGAAAATCGAATTCTGATTGCGCCGCTGACGGTTATTGTATAAATCGCAAATCGAAACAAAGTACACAGTTCGTGTGATTTGTTATTATAAGCTGGCGAACAGAATGGAAACCAAAAGAAACTAAAGTGCCGAGCGGAGAGGAAAATCTTTACAAATATTGCGTAATGGCAATGCTTGTAAACGCGATGCACAGGACGACTTGCACCGGTAGAGGTGTTACGAAAATAGTAATTGAATACGTATGCATGCGTACGCCTCTTGGCCGGGTTCCACGACGTGACAAGGAATGTAAAAAAAAAAAAAGAACAATAAGGATACTGTGAGTAAAAAAAAGAATATCTATATATATATATATACCGTCTTAATTTTATCTGACATTCGAATAAATATTACTATACCTATTTACCGAGGGGGCCGACTTGTGACGAAACGATTGTCCGCACACGGCGAACGTTTTAAAACGGTAAACAACGAGAAAGACCTTATCATCGTTGATATTATGAAGGGTATACGAGGAAGAAAAACCAGAAAAGTCATTTTTTTTTTTTACAAAACGGCGATATCGGTATGACGGTATCAAACGATTTGTATTGGTGTGGAACGATAAAGACTTGCGCGTTCGAACCGACGAGAAAAAACCAGAGTAGTCGAAAGTAATGGGCGCCAAAAGTTTAGGCATGCGGGAAAATGAACGCAGATAAGTCAACTGATACCAGACAAGTGTTGGGTTAATACGCAATACGCGGCTGCATAGCCATGGTTAATAACATAATATGACATTATTGTGTTGCGGTTACTATACATTTCCAAGTTTAACGTTTAGTTTATTCCGAAATGTTTACTTCGTAAAAAAAAAATAATTGTTACGTTTTGAAATTAAAAACATCATTGAAAAAAAAAAATTACTTTCGTGGTTTCTTCCATGTACCCTTTATATACGGAGCGATTTTTTTTTTCACTCTACCGATTTTCTCGGATAAATTTGATTTCAGATTTTTTTTTTTTCAATCATTACGGAATTGTTGAAGTTTTAATTTTCAAATAATAACCAACCCCCCCCCCCCGGCTCCCCATTTTTAAATACAGACTAGACAATATTTATCTCAACATTTTGATGTGCCTAACACCAATAACGTGGATAATATAACGTTTATGACGAGTTATACACCGATTGAAAATTTGTATTAAAAGATTGATAATAAATTCCGTAATTTCCGTAATTTTTAAATTATTATAATTTTTAAAAACATTCTCTTTTCGAATCTGGTTTTTTTTTTTCCCCGAAAATCGTTAATCCTAATATTTTTATGATATTCGGAACGTAATCGTGAAACCGTGTAAATAATACCGTTCAGCGAAGATTTTACATAATGACCGAACGAAATTAAAATCAATTGTATTCGAAATCTTTATTGAAAACTATTGCTGGATTAAAATTTGTTCGTTTTTTTTTTTAATCGCCATGTACGCATGGGGTGTTTTGGCGGTGCGATTTTATAGCGTTTTCCCACTATCGACTGTCATCATCAGTGCAGTAGATAACGCAAATTCTATAATAATTATATGACGTTATAGACGGCGTAGTATCTCGTCTGCGCGAGAGTGAAAAAAAAATCGTGACGGCATAGATCACAACGCTTCATTACTATAATTTGTGCGCCATCACCAAGTGATATCGAATTAACGATAATACCACGGCAAACCGACCGATATATTATATAATTCCGCTTCGTATTATCGCATACCAGGCAAACTCGCGTAGCGCGGTGTAATCACATGTACGCGGGTGTGGCCGAACGCGCGGGAACGAAATACGTTACAGAGCGCCGAGGAGACTTAAACCTCCCGAAACTCGGCCAATCTTCCGCCCCGAACCGTGTGAACGCCGGTCAGCAAAAAACGAATGGGACCAAAAGCAAAAAAAAAAAAACGGTCCCCCCGCGCCCGGATCGGATTTGTTATCACCGGCGCGGGCCGTGACCGCCCCGTTCGCTGGGGCGTCGTCGCGGCGGAGACGGGGTAGGGGCGGGAGGGGGGTGGTACCGAAATAATGCGGCGTTGAGAGACGGCCGCTGTCGAAGCCAACAAGTCGAATTAGACGTACGCCCGCGGCGGAATGCGTTTGGCAACGGCCCGCGCTCGACGCGCGTGTACACGCAATACGCGTACGATATTTCAATCCGCGGTGTACGCAATCGAAACGGGCCGTTGCAGCGGCGGTGTTACGCGAGGCACGCGTAACAATCGGGTCGCGTCGTCTATATATATTTTTTTTTTTTTTTTCCTTTCCGATCTCTTTATCGATCGGTTTTGTACGGTGAATCGTCGACAATCGGATTATCATCGCGCGCTACGACCGTGCGGTCGCGAACACCGCACGCTCGTCGCCACGCGCCGGCCGGTGCCGTTGGTTCGCGGTTTAAGACCCGGAAAGTCGAAGTCGCCCTCCCCCCCCCCCCCCGCCACCATTACAACGCCGCGGACCGTGCAGACGGCGTCGACAGTCCGCCGACGGTCCGAAGAAACGGCCGCGGCGCTCCGGCCCGGGATAACGGGGCGGAAAATAGGCGTTCAGCGCCCGCCGGAAGCCGTTGAATCGGCTCGCGCGCGCAGGCGACCATTGCATACGCATAACGCCCGTAGTTAATCCGGACGTGACCGCGCGCGTTGTTTCCGATGCGGTTTATTTTCGTTCTCTCGGACCGTGTCGATACCGTGTTCCTTCCGCGCCGTAGCCGAGGCGAAATCGAAATTGAAAAACCAAACTCGAATGTTCCAAACGAATAATGTACAGTTAAACAATCGCCGGAGTTTTCGAACGTTTCACCGCGTGTTTAAAACGCTTCTGTGTTCCGCGAAAATTCCGGGTCTCTTCGACTATTCGGGACTCCCGAAAAGGCGTATTTTTCATACTATTATAACGCCATCACGCGTGCGCGAAATTGTAGCCCCCTTTGATGTATATGGGATAGAGGTCCGTAGGCGTATTCGAATTCTAAGAAATGTCTTCTAGCAACAACATGTGAAATTCATACTGAAACTTAACCTAAAATTGCCTTTTTCTATTTTTTTTTTTACCTGAAAGCATACGTCGTAAAAAAAAAAAAAAAAAACCTACAATGTATCGTGAACATTTCAGACCTCTAACGTACATAAACAACTTTGTTTTTTTTCTTTGGGTTTCAGCCATTATGTTTAGCGAAATACGAGGAACGTTATATTAAAAACAAATAAACGACTTGTTTTTTTTGTAAAATATGCCGAATTGCTGTACAAAAAGTACGAAGTTTTCGATAAAATTCTAAATGAAAACTAAAAACAAAAAACAGCCGCAGCAATAAATTAGTTTTATTTCGATAATAAAAACCGTCGGTTTCGATTAAAATAATATTGTAATACCTTACCGTTATAATTGTTGTACATCGGTGCTCCAAAAATATATCCGGCGGGGTACACGAACGGTGACTGATACAAATTGTTTTGTTGCTGATCGCCACCCACGCACGAATCCTGGGCGCCGTTTGCACCCGTTTCTGAGTTCTGAACGGTGCTGTTGCAGTTCTGTAACGGATTTAGATTGTAATATTGACGATTTTGAAAAAGTAAACGTTCGAAATGCATCGATCCGTTATTTATACGGGTTTTATACGTGTTTTAGAGGTTAAGTTTTTGACCATACAAACCACATGTCGATAAATCGCGTTATTGTGTAATGCGATCTATTAACCATTACAGGACTTTTTAAGACATCTGCTTACTTGTTGATGGTCGGTTGCCGCGGTTATGGACTTCTTGTGGTGATATCTGCTGCCGTTGGGTTGGTACGCAGTGGCGCCGGACATCCAATGCTCGTTAACCGGACTGTACCAGTCCAAGGGCTGCAAAGGCATCGGTTGGTACGATATAGGTGCCAGCATAGGGTGGCCCGGGCCTGGCGGATAAGGAGGTGGTGGGCCCATCAATACGGTGAAGTTACCAGTGTACGGGTCGTACACCTCGTATCCGCTGCCTGAGGATGCGAAAAATAATAATATTATGATAAAATGTCAATACGTTTACGATCAAGTTTGATTAGGTTGTAGGTTAGGTGACCGTTTAGTAAATGGCGTTCAGTATACTCGGTGAGCACGATGGTTTTTTTTTAATACCAAACATTACAAAATTGAACATTTTTCACGGTTACACAATAATAACACTTTTCATACGATAAGAACCCGCGGTACCATTTTTAAATGTATATGAAAATAATTATGAATATTTACGAATCGGTAAATTTTGATTTTTTTCCAAAAATGACCGCTAAAATTATCTTTACGCGACCACTTGATTATTTTTTCGTAGGAAGTATGACTTCCTCTAAATTATCTACAATCTTGAAATTACTTTTAGATAGGGGTGTTTTCTGGGGGGGTTATACACTCAGGAAAACCATAATATATAGAGGGAAAATCGAAAAACGCCGGGCTCCACGTGTGTACAAAATAGATTAAATTGGCTACCGAAAAATAGACACGGGTTTGGAAACGCTCCCAGCTCGGCCGTATCAAACGCGGACACAAAAATAAATAAACATGGCGACGAAACGTCGGAAAACCAATAACGTCTTTCTCCCTCTTTATTATACACGGAACATCACTTAAAATGAATTGAATATAATCGTATTGAATATTCCGACTTTACTACGATCGCCTACCCTTGTCTCGTGGGAATGTAAACAACAGTTTATGGGAGGGGAGAATATTTAGAATCCTAAAAAGAAAACAATAAGTATACATAGGCGATAATAGTGGCACATAAAATCATTCAAAGGTTCGAGGAATAGCGCTGGAAAAGAATGATGTGAGCGAGTTGGACAGAACAAAAAACAAACAATAGTGTATAATACTGTGCGAAATAAATTCAACCAGCAAGACGAATCGGAATATGCTCTGAGACACGAAGAATAACAATTATAGTGAAGTAAAAAAGACTGAAGACGACCAAAAACATCTTATTATATCATAAAAATGTTGATGCGAGATTAACATACAATTGAAGAAGTTAGATATAGTGACTGAACACTGAAAAAATGAAGAAACAGACGAAAAAGCGACGTTTTTAGGGAAGTCCATGGGGGTATTGGGTCATAGACGCCACATTTCAATGAGGCGTCATAATCTTTTGAGGCGTGGTAAACTAAGTGTTTTTTTTTTTTTTTTTTTATTTAAATATCAAACCCATTTCACAAATTATGCTCGTTCAGCAAAGTGTTTTAGGGTCCAAAGCGTACAGTTCAAAATGTAAAGTTTATGTAGCTCGAAATTCCAGTGGGTTGTAGAATAAATGTGGTACTATGAACGGGCGCTAAAATGTAAATGCGTTTCTGCTTTGAGGACACGTTCAGTTTGCGGTTCAAACAAAATTAATTAAGTTCTAAACTATATATACATAGGCATTCAATTACGCCACATTTTTTTCCCCCCCATTTCAAACATTTTTTATTTCATAACAGTTTTACCGTTTAGAATGTATATCCCGGAAGAATCGACGAAGTATTCGTTCGGTGCGCATAGCTCGTCCAACGGGCTGACGATCGTATCAGTAGGAACACCGTCTATAAAATATTTTATTACAATATTTTTATCATTGACCCGGAAATCACGTAATTATATTATTGTATATCGGTTTGTTACTGACCTTCGTTTTCGTTCAGGACTTCGGCGATGGCCGCGGGCACGGCGGCGTGTTTGCGCCTTCCCAAGTAGCCCTTTTTGAACAGCACGTCCTGCCTCGGCGTAGTGATCTTTGTGTATTCATCTGTAGATACGAGAAAATAAGAAAAAAAAATAAATACAATTAATATAAAATTATCAAGTATAGTGTCCTGTTCTTTTTTTTTTTTTTTTTATATTTAAAAGCTTATCGCCGTAAAAATTTTCTCGTGACGCAATAATAATAAACGGTGTTTTTTTTTTTTTTTTATATTACCATCGAACTACCGACCAGTGGCGTATTTACGGAGCAAGGGAAACGCGAAGAGTTTCGCGTCACACAGCTCGTGGTCAAGCCAATAACAATTATAGTTTACACGGTACACCTAGGTGAATCGACAAGTTTCAAAAATGGTTTTGATTTTATTTTCGGAATGAGAAAAATAAGCTGCACGTGGTTTCGATGTAATAGATTCGAAAATGTCCGATTGCCATATAATTGCAGCGATAACATCAGAAATAACACACGCATACGCCCGGATAATTACAAAACGTTTTTTTTATCTTCTCCCGAACAATTTAATAAAATATAGATTTTCCGGGTCGTTGCACTGGACCATTCGATTATTATAAATTGTATGTTATCGCATGAGCTGTAGGCGGCAGTGCCCAGTCATGCGTTAGGTATAATCAGTGTGTAGCTTTTCGACTATTTTCTACGACAAAGGTGTCGTTTAAACGTTAAAATTTCGTCGGACGAGGCCATCGACGATAGCTATAGCTCTTTCTTTGGACAACTATCGTAATGCCGCCCTCCGTCTCTCATAACGCGTTGTTCTAAACACGCCACTCTAAATTTCAGTCCTAAATAATATTTAAACGATTACCTATCTAGTTACAGTATGTATGGATTTATGTACTCAACCTTTAAAAACGTATTGTTCTATTTTGAAATAATTGATTCGTATACAAATCAGGGCCATCGGATTTTACTGAAATTTAAATTGCATACAAAATAAACGCTGATAGAACTTGATGTTTTAATATAATCATAATCAGAAATTATAACAATGGTATCAGGTTGAGAACAAGTAATAAACAGTATTTTTACTGTTTTCACTTTATTGAGTGTGTAGTGACACAAATCGTATTTATTTATTTTTGTTTTTAACGTTGAATATTAATGTGCCCCTCTTGTGTTCCCGTGGCATTTACCCACGTGAATGTGACACGCGTCGCTGACACCACTGACGGTTTACCGACCGATTTATATTCTCAACTAAACACCGACGGTGACACGACCGACGCGTAAAGTGTAAAATAACTCGAGACAATTAATACTTCAAGTGATTTTTGCAATAATTGATAATTTTAAGTATCGCAGTATAGGTATTTTTTGTTCTCCTACGTATAGATTATACTAAATTTTAACTAGGATTTTTTTTTCAGTTTAAACCCATTAAGCTCGGATTGTAATTTTGAAGAGTGTTTACTGTAGGTACACATCACTTAACGCGTGAACTAGTTATACCATTTTAGGGACGATATTATTACGATGCGTACGAGTAGGTATATTCGATTATGGACGAAAATCGTCACAACGACGACGGTTCCGTATTATAATATAAAATAAAACTGTGATTTGTTGACAAAATCAATAAGTTTTCAATATACAAAAATAAAAACGTACGAAATTCGATAAGCTCGAAACGTCAATGGGTAGGTAATTCGTATTAATATTATTATAATTCACTTGTATTGTATACTCCGTATCTAATCTGCAGTCGTACGTCTCTTAACTTCCTAAGTGCGCGTAATGCATATGCAATATTTTAATGGGTGTTTTTCTGGTTTTTTTTTTTTTTTCGTTTTAATTTAAATTTTCGTTATTCGGTTTACAGTGTTTGTTTTAGCTTCTACGGGCCAACTATAGGAGTTTTGCTGCTTCGATCAAATCGACCGAGTTCCGTCCATTTCGGTTATCCGTTCCCACAAAACTTGATACTTGCTGTTTTTCGATAGCGCTACAGTCGTTTCGTATTATAATTTATTATAATAAACGCTGCTTGTATTCGTTTTATACTAAACGGAATAGTTTCAATAGTTTCGAATAGAGTTTGGAATTGTTTTTTTTCTGTAATTTTACGGATAAACGAGAGAAAAGGGCGGGGAGGTTGAGAGAGATAAGATAATAAAGAAACAAAAAAAAATGCTTATTTAATAATTCCGTGGGTTAACGACATAATACCTACTTACTATTAATCACGGTTATCACACGGTGTAGATGACCATGGTATTAATGTACGCCTAGTTTAATAAAATGTTGAATATTTTTGATAGATAAATGTACTTTTTTTTTTTTTCTTGTAATTACCGTAAAACATTATAATATTATGTATTATTTATGTATCGTGTAGAAAAAAAAAAACTACTGTATAAAAATAAATCGAAATCGGTTTATTTTTGCACACTTCTCGTCCGCTTTATCGTACGCTTGTAAGCGATTTCGTCGCTTCCCGTCTACGCATGTGCCGGTTAAGTTAAATTTAGTCTTTCCTTTTTTTTTTTTTTTCTCTACCTACGCTTATTGATTATCATGCTATATAATTATATACTATACTATATGTATACCGCGAGTTTCCTAGATAAATATTATTGCGTTTATTGATATAAACAAAATGTAAACAGTTAATTTTCGAACATTCGATTTAATTTTGTACGGGTATACTCTATTATCGAGCGTTTAACATTCCAAATGAAACTTGCGCGGGGTAGGTGTGCGTTTAGAAGAAAAGCAAACGGTTTACTTATCCGTGCAGCGGGGCGTGTGACGTTAGCGACTCGATTTTAAGTCTCGGTTATATGTAAAGGGCGGCGATTAGTTTTAATAACTGCTTAGTTTTTAAATAACGGGTACGTTATATTGTTATACGCGGGTATATAACAGAATGTTAGCGAAAGATGATTTATTATAACGTCTTGAAAAAAAAAAAAAAAACGAATAACCTCGTCGTTTCGTTAATTGTTCGCGTGACGCGCTCATTTTCCGACTATCACAATGTTTGTAGTATTTTTTTTTATTTATTTATTTTTTTTTTCTCACACTTCAAATACACGATTTTTCTTTTTCTGTTTGTCAAGGACTGGCGCGCGATTGGTTCGAAAAAGTATCGCGCCGGCGGTTGTCGATAGATTTTCCATTTTCCATTTATAATTGTTTCCCCGCCATTACCGGGATCCCTTGTATACAACGTAACGATCACGTGTGCGCATTCCGTAGGCGTGCGTCCGCGAACATCGCGAAACGCCGCGGAATCGATAAGCGACTGGGTCATTGTCCTAAAGTGCCCCGCGCCGCTCGTATATTTATAGATATATAAATACACACACACACACATATATATATATAAATAAAGTGCACTTGTATTACTTAAAAATGTCCGCGTACGACGAGAGAAAAAAAAAATGATATTGTATAACATTCTGTAAGAGCGAAACCGTGTAAATTATTAAAATCGCCAAAACAACAACAGTAATAATAACGGATATCGACCGCGCTCGTATAAAACGATGGCGATTCTATCCGTATACATACATACAGTGTGTAACGATCGTACCATTCTGCGTCTACTGTTCAGAGTAGGTGTAGGTACGCCGGAACCGTTGGAGTCTCATCGAAACCGTACTCGCACGCGGATTTCGGGAGTGTGCGACAATACGAACGTGCCGTCTGATATTCGAACGCCGTCGTACTGGAGCACTGGAGGAATGTATTGAGGTTTTTTTTTTTTTTTTTTTAGCTTTTAACGGCCCCGGCAGAAGCGCGCGCGTCCCGAACGAAGCCAAAGTCGATGCGATCCTCGTATACACGCACGGCGTTAGTATCAATATAACTATTTATTAGGATGTGCCATTCGGGGATTTCAACTCTCAACGCCGATCCCTGCTATTTCTATGCTCGAATTCCGTCCATTTCGGTTTTTGAAATCGTATAGTTGCAGTAGTTTAGTACAGTGCCCACACGCTGTTCACGGGCGGTGTTTTTTTCGTTTAAAGCCGTAACACGTTATTTACGGATTCAAAACATTTTTATTAGGGGTTCCTAAAAAATAATCATATGCATGGTTCTCAATAGATTACGATTGTTTACTAAAATATGTTGACGTTGAATATTGATTGAAATGGAAAAAAAATAACATTTTTTTCCCGCCCGTTTACCATATTTTCTAACAACCCCTGGTTTTGGTACGATCACTATTATTGTACATGCACGTTGTTTAACTTACATTCTATTGCTGAAGCGTATCATAATTACGACTAATACAAAACGACATGTATTCTCGCGTTGAAGTTCGTTTGTAACCATTATAGCTAAGTGCTAAGAAAACATTTAGTTCGTTTAAGCACACAGTAAATCCGAAAACTGTAACAATAATTACGATAATTATTATATTTTTCGTAGTTTTAGAAGAACAAAAAAAAAAAAAAAAAAAACATTAAAAACATTTAAAGGGAAAAAAAGCAACGAACTGTTTATAACAGTAAAATATCGGCCCACTCTTGCATTGCATACTGTTTTAAATACGAAAACGATAATTTATTAAAATAAATTGTTGTAGAGTTCAGAAACCGATTCCTGGCGGACGTCAATTATTTACGTATATACAATAGCGTTTTTTATTCTACTCAAAAACAAAACAAATGGTGTCATAAAAAAAAAAAAAAAAATCAATAGCAAAGATTTTCGATGTCCAATACCGATGCACCTACGCGAGAATAATGACCACGAACGCGGTCACGACTATGTGTTAGAATAATATCGCTGTGGTCCCGGGGAAGAAGAGCAATTTTGTATAGTTTTCAATATACAAGCAAAATTAAATGTTTAAAATACAGACACTCGTGAAATTTAGAGCAAAATATAAAAGGAAAACAAATTACGTCGTTAGACGAAATTATATAAAAAAAAAAAAAACTGCATTTCCAAACATTTACATAAGTCATTTTTCCCTCGGACCAAAGATATATTTCGTGAAACGGTGAACCGCGTGGGTTCGAAAATACAATTTCTTGTGATTTCTTTTATATTTGCCGGATAAAATATTAACCGATGTATTGACATTTCATCCGAACGGGTTATAAAACTCGAGAATTTCCTTTCGCCGTCGTCCAATCAAAATTGTGTCCACAGGTGAAATTTTAGGGAGGGAAGGGCGAAATAAAATCAATTCTCAGAATGTACGCTAAATATAGGTTTAACGTTATTTCAACATAGACGTGTAAAAAGTAATAACTAATATTTATTTCAGGAGGGGAGGTTCAAATGTCCCGTCATTCCATCGCCCACGCGCACAAATAACCGTACCTTTTCGTGTATTTTACTTTAATATGTTTATTTCCTATTTCGATAATAAAATAGGGACGTATTATTATGGAACATTCGAGCTCTTTATACTTGTGTCCATACACACAATCGTACTGACGCGGAACGGTTGAATAACTCCCATTCGCGTTCATCGCTCACAGTAATTGCAAATGCAATTGAGTGGATGATTGTTTTTCAAAACCGTTACTTGTACAATTCAGTATTGTTATTACTGACATTCGCAACAATTAACGGGTGTTAACAATATTCTCACGAAAACGGTTTAATCGACCACGTAAATTACATATACACACATCCAGGCATCTCGTCGTCAATTGATATGTTCTTTAGCAAACTTACTGGCAAGCCAACTAACTTGTTGTGTATAATGTACTCATTTTTTTTTTTCAACAAATCTTAAAATTACAACAACGCGTTCTTGCATAACATTGTTCGAAATTGAAAACATTCATCCCGACGATCTCCATCATTCGTTAAATTAATTAATTACGCGTAGTTGTAATATTACCTAGGTAGGTACCTAAAGTTTAATTCCGGTCGGGTTTTTATTTGAACTTTGTTCAATTATCTGGTCAAATTTTTAGATTCTTGGTGTTACAATGATAATTGATAATTGGTTTTACAATGATGTTTATCTTTTAGCACTTTTTCTGAAAGGAAATCTGACCGGAGTGGTACTTCAGGGAGGTTATTGTTTAATTTTCCCAAGAGTTTTCATAATAAATGGGAAAAACTGGGAAACAACTTAGGAAAAACGGGAAAATAGACGAAATTTATTAGTTTCAGAACCGGACTCCGCTCAGAATCGTTTTTCGTTAGCAATGATTAATCTTGGCGTACAAATATACATTCAATTTGCCCTCTACCTTCCCATCTGTTCACCTACAACGGTGGCCCTCCCATCGTGCGAAGTTTGTCTGTTTGTTTATTTTTGTTTTTTTTCTTTTAGATTTATTTTAACTGTACAAAATGTTTTCAGCACATCGGGTACTTTTACACAAATTTTTTTTTCTTTACCATTATATTAAAATATCAACGACGTGAGTATGGTTATGAAAGTCAAGTGTGGTTGGTAACACGAATAATTGCAATATGGATGGTATGATCGATAAAATAATTTAACATAACGGCAATAGTAACGACAGCGTTGTAGTATTAGTAGGGTCAAATTTATTCGGTATACTACGCAGTATAATATGATATTTGTATCCAGCTGCGGCCTTGCCTGGCAATAATAATAATATGATTATGCTGGCGTAATAAATTTAAAAAAATTGTTTCCAAATAATCCGGCTGGAAATTAAAAAACGCGGACTAATCGTTTTATTTGCGTCGCAAGTAAGTACAATCCACTCTCGCGCAAACACAAGACTTAATAATTATTACATTAGCGTTATTATAATATTACATATCCACGCCGCACGTTGGCGCACAAATTATTATACCCGCAGGTATATACAGTGTACAATAACTGTCATTATCAACGCAATATAATGATCTTGTTTTTTTTCATAGTTTAAAAAAAAAAAAAACAGCTTTATATAATGTGCGTCTTATCTAATCGTATCGTTTTTTCAACTCGGCGAGAATTTATTTCCGTAAGTACACTGTAACATTACACTGTCGGTTAGCATTCATCGTTCATATTCATCATCTGCAGTAATATCTGTATTAATACAGTTATGCGTATGTTTATCCAAAGCCGAATCTATCGCGCGCGGACATCGGCAAATTTCAACGCGACAGCGGATGAACGGTTCCGTGACGTGCACCTCGAAGCCGCCGAATTTCCAAAATGCAACCCTTAAAGGTTCGCCCACAAAGGAGGTCTCTTTTTTTTTTTTTATTTTAATGAAAATCGAATTATGTTTGTTGATTATTCTTAGTTAATTTGGCGGTCATGGACAAAGAAATACACCTTTTTTTAAAAAAAAAAAAAATGAATTATCCGGTAACAATGGTTAACTGTGGATGGACACGGGGGGCGGAAACGGAGAGACACGTTTTATTTGTCAATTTTTTTCTTTTTTTTTTTTTTCATTCAATGCACGGGCAAGGCTTAGTTTACTGAGTACGAACTCGTCCCATATAAAACCGAACGAAACAATACATTTGAATGCAATTTTTTTTTTTTTTAAGTACTGAGTGTAACAAAGTAAATAAATAGCTTTATTATAATAGCTTTAGAATAATGTGGTTTTTCTCTCGGGAAAACACTTTTTTTTTAATCAGTACAAATTGTCCGATTTGTTTATACCGTATGCTCCAGAAGATGCGGTTTTTTTTTCTGGCAATATTTTACAAGAGACATTTATCGACATTTTCTTCAGTTCACCTCCTTTTATTATGTTTACAGAGCGGTTATCTTACTGGCAATACCGTAGAATACTATAATATAAAAAAATATAAATATTACTCGGTCATCTGTTCGGTATTTATTTCACTTGTGATCGGAAATCTGAATCAATGATATACATTTGTGTCCAAAACAACCCAATTATATACGTTTGTTTGTTCTCAAGATCGACAATTTATTTAACACGGGTAGACAGGGAGTTTCTAACATCTGCGTATGCTACACTATGAATCGTTTTTTATTCGTTTATAATTTTTAATTTATCGTTGCATATGTAGTAATTATTAGGTACCTATTTGATTTACATTTTTAAAAACAATAAATCGTCCAAACACAGTTTTCTCGAGTGTTGAGAATTGACCAGGCGGTAATGATATTTAGTGTTTGCAATTTTCATAAGAATCAAGCGATTTGAATTGAGCCATTTCACGGCAAAACACAATAAACCGAGACTATATAAATACGTTTAGATGGCCACTAAAAGAAACCGATTCGAAACTGTAGCGTAATTGACATAACGGTTTATTTAATGGTCGCCCTCCAAATAAAATGTAGAAACGCAGTAGATTTGATAAGGTTATGTAGTATTAGTCGAGTGTTACAGTTACAGTAACCCGAAAATCGGCAAAATAATAACCGATATAATAAATCGTCATTTGCTGTGGTTTTTATTTTTATTATTATTATTATTATAATGAAAAGCTGTCGGGAATGTAAAAAAAAGTTCCGATAAAGTACCGTAGGATGAAAGTCTCCGCATACATTTTGAAGCACTGCGCGAGAAAATCTGACCATTTTTACTAACCGAAAAGTATTTTCCGACAAAAAAAAAAAAAATAAAATAAAAACCATTTAGTAAAACTAATAATATGTATAGGTTAGGTTATTCGGTATGCACTGAGAATATGAAGACGCCACGTTTTAATCCGGAATCTGTCGTTCGAGTAAATCGAAAATCAATTTGCCGTACCCTCTATATATATTATAAATAATGTCATTGTCATTAATTGTGTTCGCATAGCGGATAAAAACTTTTTGGAATCGCATCGAACAGCAGGTACTTTTCGCTGTGTTTTCGGACGAATTTCGTGGATTGCACGATGTACACCATAACTCGCGACGGGGTACGACGACGCACGGGTCGGCTTTTAAATATTTACAATTATTGAAAGCGAATTCTTGAATATTCTCGAATCGATAAATTTTAATTCGCTACCCTAATGTATACGCAACCCCTTAAACGTTTCGCTTTGTATTTGTTGTTTTTTTTTTTTGTTTCTATTCTATTTATACGGCAGTTAGTCGCCGCGTGATCATTATACGCTGTAGTGAAAAACGCACACGCCATAACAATCATACATTATAACATGACTTTATGGTAAAGGGGAGAGGGGAGGGATCATAACGTATACCTATCAAAACTATAACTGTTATTATAAGAGGGGACAAAAGTAATTTGTCACTATTGCCTACGTATTCCTTCCATTATGTGTAGGTACCAGACGACGAGTAATCGCGTTCCGACACGGTATTACCATAGTGCTATCTGTGTATCGTTATTTTTGCGCAATATCGATTGAACATCTCGATATGTTTTGGAAAAATAAAACATTCGTATTTCGCATTCCGGTTGAAAAATACTCTAACCTCCGCTCCTCTTCGCCTCGGACCTGCCGGCCTACTGCGGTGTTTCCGAACGTTTTGGACACTGCAGCCGGACCCCTGACCTAACCTAACCCGGTGACCTCTCACTCGAAAACGTTCGGACCATTAATAATTATCGTCACGCGAATTAAATCATAATAATGTACCCGAATAAAAAACATTTTTGAAAAAGAGCTGATACTGGTTAATGGGTGTGCCACTGTTGCAGCTAAGAAATTGGGAAGATAGGAAACGTCATATAGAGTATAACGTAAAGATTACTAATATATGTTACAAACGAAAAATGATTCTGAGTAAAGTTCGGTTAAATATATTTTGAAATGCCGTGATTTTCACAATTTTCTTGAAAATCCGAGCTTATGAAAAAGAATAGTTGTTTTTGAACGCTAAGTACAACTTATAGAAGACTGATTTTATCAATTGTTTCTCTATTTATTTTAAATAAGAAAATTAACCGGCTATTTAAACCAAAAAAAAAAAAAAAAATTAAGAACGAAAAACAAATAATTTCAGTTTGAAGGTCTTTGATTTAATTTCTCGAAAATGGTGACGCAGGAAACGGAGCAATTTTTTACTAAATGACAATGTGAAATAGAATGTGGAGAAGGAGAAAATTTTTTCCGACCATACATAAACGTATATCCCGTAAAATAATTAAATCATCGACGGTCGGGTCAGGTTAAGATTTAAACACTCTGTTTACAGAATTTGTAAATCACCGCAAATGGGACACGTACAACTTTCATGTTCGATTTTGTATCTATAATTTTTTACAGATCGATTTTTCGATTGAATTTGTCGGTGTTTTATTACCGTAATTTCCAATGGTGTTTTTTTAAATGTTTATACCTACTATAAATTGTAAATGGCATAATCGCGCATCGCTATGGGTTCGTTGTTTTCAACATCGTCAGCTAGTGATGATGATTAAATTATTCAAGTTCTGGTCAGGCTATCGATACTATAAGAAGGCGCCGAGGAGCCATAGTTTCATCAGTTTTATCATTACTGATCAGCGTTATGAAATATAATTTATATTTGATTGGTGGTTTAATATTTATCGGGAAGTATTTACAATAATATTATTATGTTTTATATCAGTTATTACAATTTTACAGACGCCTGAGTTTTACGGACGTCAGTAATATATTTGCATAGATGGTTTTTATGTAACCGGGTCTAAGTGCGACGTGCACAAGCGACCACGGCGAATTCATTTCGCGATAGAAAGCAAATGTAGAGGCGCTGTAGTCGGAACTTGTAACGGAGCTACTGGGTTACATATAGACGGTTGATAAAACCCAAATTTGGGATCCATACAAATTAAATATTATTAAAATGTACCGTCTACATTTTGCCCCCCCCCCCGTTACAGAGTTATAATCGCCACCGCAATCGGGTGCAGTTTTCCATCGCGAATATAGACGACAATATTATTATACAGGTATACATATTATGTGTGTGTATTAATATAATTTTGTTTTCCTTCGATTTACTGACCTTCGTTGAACGTGACCGTGGAAGTTTCCGTGTGATGGTGGTGTTGTTGCCCGGTGGCGGCGTGACCGTCGTTGGACGATTGGTGTCGGTGGTGATGGTTATAGGGTTGCTGTTGCTGGGCCGCGTAGTGGCTCCGTCTGCCAGCCGCCGCGGCGAAGTTCACTGGCTTGGAGTCGCCGACGGTGGCGGCGGATTGCCGGCCGAACGGTTGCTGATGGTCGGTAGGCCCGGAGTACGGTTTGTCTGCTGCAAACGGTAAATGACAAAACAAAACAAATTACTACAAAGATTTCCTGATCAAAAACACATCACGGGTAAGCCGTGGAAATGTTTGTAGGTAAATTACGTGCATGGGAAATCTTCTACATATTTCACCGTACGATTCGGGAGGGGAAATGGGAAAAAGAGAATGATTCAAAATATTTATCATAGATGGCGAAACGACGAAACGGTCCGGAAAACGGATAACGAGTCAGGTATAAAGACGGAAGACGAAGACAATGTATAGGTCAAAATAATTGTGGTTATATATTAAGGGTTTATTTACATAGCAATATTTTTGTTGACCGCTAAAAGTTTTCTTCAAATTCCATTTTAAACATTATTATCATAATCAATATGATTGCACAGTTATCAATAAACAATTGTACAAATGCGAACGATTTTCGGACCAATAAAAGATACGCCAAGTGGTAAGTAGAGAATAAGAAAAATTAACACGCTCTTTCAAAAACCGAACATACTGGTTACGATAAGAAAAAAAAATAAAGGTTACAGCGATAACGGAGTATGCGTGGCGTAAACCTATTATCATAGTGCTTGATGTAAACCCTACTGAAAAAAAGGTCAATTGGACGATCACGTATGAAATGGGAGGACGTATGTAATAATACGGAAGACTTATTGTAGGAGAAACGTACGGAAGACATACTTTTCTGGTAAGGATAACCGGAGGCGAGAATGGCGGTACGGTCTTGGGGGTCGATTATCTAAGAAGAAAACAATAACTATGCCGGATATGGTGGGATAAGGTCGATACAATAATTTCATAGGATATTATACGATTTGATTTACCGTTTGACCGGGTAAAAAGGTCTTTCGCACGTACACGTGGCGGCGTGTAGACGAAGAAACGACTTTGGGTATAATATTATAATTTATTAGGGCGGCGCGATGAAAGGCGAGAAAGCCGACCGGCTTGTGCGGGACACAAAATAGACGGAGACGGGGAAAAAACATTCGTACCGCGGTAAAGGCCAATGGAAGTTTCACGGTTTTTGTTATTTTCGTTTTTCATATTATATTTATACATTTTTTTTCGAGGCGTGTTCGTTCGAGCGTCGTAAAATAATATTTTATGTATTATTAATTCAAATAATAGGGTACAGAATTTTTTTTTTTAAATATTTTAGTTTTTTTTTATGTTTTCTTCGCGCTCCCCCGAGCATTTACGATAATGTCGAACGCGCCTAAGTATAATCGTCGTTTGTATAGCCAGTTGGTGCAATAATATTTGATCGATAAATTATTGTTGACAGAATGCCGTCGTCGGTGTGTATAGCGAACAGTGAAACGATATTATTTGTACTGTGATAAACGAGAAAAAATAATAATAATAATCTCAAGACGAATATTATTCTCTAGAAGTTGTTATGTACGTTTACTACCTACTTACACATATTATTATACCCTTTGAAACGCCTGTGGTCGTCAAAATGTTTGAAATATTCGTCTGGCGCGGGAGCGAGACGATTAAATCTTAGAGAATTTTTTTTCCTCGTTTTCGTCCTCGAGTCTTTATTGCGATAATATCAACGGTCGTGTAACGATAAAAATTGCAGGCGTGCGAATCATAAAAAATTAGCATGTGGTTTTTTTTAATTTTAATTTTACGAGGGTCGGGTCAAATTGTCCAAACGATTGCCAGTTGCCAGTCGGTATCGAAATCGATGGTTTTTATTGTTGAGCCGTGTAAAAGGAATGTAATATAAGTGTATGGTCATTACCGCCCATGAATTTCCACGGGCGATAAAAACTTTTATGTTGAATTTATAATATTATTACGTTACAGGCTCTTTGGCAACACGTCTAAAAACCGCGAGCACCGCCGCCGTCGTCGTTGTCGTTTGAAGAATGAATGCTTACGCACTTCGTTTGACACGATGTAATAATGCGTTCACGTGCAGTGTCGTTTGAGTGTAATAATAAAACAATATCATAAACAATTATATAAAAACCGAGAAAGTTATAATTATTATTCCCGCAACGGTCGATTTAAAGGCAGTGCAAGCAGCGCACTCGCACCGCAGAGTCCCGCGTTGCGCCCCAATCGAAAACTCATCGTTTCATATAATTACTTAGAAAAATAAAAATAAAAATTAACGGACAAAGATGAATTGAACGAATTTTAAAATGTACCTACGCTCGGCATTAGAAGGCAAAAAGCAAAAAAAAAAAAAAAGTAAAATCAGCAGATTGAGGCCCCACACCACACAATGTACTACATCACAGAGCCTCGATAATTTCCAAGCCGGCTCCGATCAGCGCCGGCTCTAGGGCAAGCGGTGTGGCTGCACAAGCGCGGGGCCTCGCAAATTTTGTATTCCTCGTATCACTTTATCTAAAAATAATCAATAATATTGTTCCAATAGTATGCAAATACGTATTGCCGGATTGCACAAACGACCAACGACTACTAGTTATCGAACCGATAACAACATAATCGGTTTGATAAAGTGTTTGGCTGTTGCAATAACGGCTTTTATCTTTTATCGGTTCAACAGATAACGTCTCATCGAATCGATAAGTTAAAGGCCCGATTTTGATTCGATAAGTAATAAAAACAGTCCCATAACTATTTATTTAACTGATAATACGCTTACATATTTATTCCCGTCGCCCGGGATCCGCTACTTGCTTACTCGTTGGTTACTGGCTTAATTTATCCTGTGGTTGTACATTTTATTAGTCTTTTTTTTTATTTTTAGTTATTTAATAATGTATCTAAATACATCATTTCCAAAGGATGATAACAAATAACGACCGGTATATCATTTATCGAATATACCACATTACTACGACCAGGGTAATCAAATAATTAAATTTACGTTGAACGTTTTACGCAACACTAATATACTAGTGTACTATACGGAACCGATAAAGATATTTGTATAATAGATTAACGATCCGATAGCAAACCTCATCGAGCTGTTTTTATCGATCGTTAATAAAAATTCTGCACCGGACCCCGAAATCCATTGGGCCCGACACTGGCTCCGATTCCTCTGTATTCACGGCGTTCGCGGCCAAAAAAAAAAAAAAAAAAAAAAAGAAACCGATCGAAACAACACCAAAAATGAATCGTTGCCATATTTGATCAAAAATAAAAAACAAATCTACAAAACAGACCGCAGTGTGAAACAGCTGTTAATATTATAGCTAGGACTGTGAATTTAACGCATTTGCATGTATTTTCTTGGCCCCGGTCATTTTGGTCTGAATCAGCGATAAATATGTTGTTAAAAAAAATAATTGTCTAGCTTTGATGAAAATGTCACGATAATCCCGTACTGCGGGCGTATGATAGTTCCGCGTGAAAACAAATAATTTTTAGTTTTTTTTAATTACAGCTTGTTATCCACTTTTGCGCAAAAGTCGAATACTATATAATTGTATTGCAGGTATTCGTATCAACGATATTCACGATAAGTAACGTAAAAATAATTAAGAGGTTTTTTTTTTTTTTTTTTCTATAATTCTTAAAAACCGCGATTGCTTCACGTGTTCACATATTGTTATTTGGAGAATATTAAAATTTTTAAATTGAAATTTACCGCGCGTTTCGTCAGTTTTTCGCAGACAACTGCATTTGCATCCCTTATGGTATTTTAGCGCATTCAATTCACGGCCCTGGCATTATGTTATATTATGTTTTGTCGCGTAATCGCATCGATTACCCGTCGACCTTGACGAGGTGTCGGGTAGGCACCGCCGTCTGCGAAACAAATAACACTTTGATAATGCACATTCTCGAACGGGAGCCTATATCGACGTCTGCCGCAGGCGAACAACCGCACGGGAAGCCGTATACGAAAACATAAAACCGTTTTAAAAAGATAACAAAACCGACTTTATGCTTTTGTACAAACAATAAATTATTATTATCTATACGGAACGGCTTTACGGGTACACAACAATATACACGGGATTAAAAAAAAACAGTGTATTTTTTGGTTTTATTTTTATTTCTATCGCTTTTCAAAATCGTACACCGACGTCGAACACACGACCGTGTACAATGACCAGATACAATTTCTACAAGTCTGTTATCATTGCGGTTATTGCGGCGACCCTTTTAAAACGGCGTTTGCTTTACGACCGAACGTCCGCAGAATATCGAAAAATCCGGATAAATGCAATACGTCACGCGGACTCGGGCGCTGTAATATAAAATCGTGCAAGGTAAATAAAATAAAATTCGTTTTATTATAACCGCGAATAATCATATTGGAAAAATCGGAATTCAATTCGGATTCGTGATAGGTTTCGGATTAGGTTCTGCGAAAATCCGGATTTTATACATTTTTCTGATTCTAAACACTATTTAGTTATTATCATTATATTATAGTCTGAACGTCTACTGCGTGTACGCGGCGTACGGAAAGCCAGCAAAAAAGTAATCAATATATCGTGTGCGATTTTTAACTCGTACGATTGTAAATTTTTAACGGTTAGGCAACGGAGAAAAAAAAACGGAGGACGACCAGAAAACGTCTCACAAACCCGCGAGTATTTTACGCGGGCCTGTAAAATGTGTAACGGCAAAAAAAGACGATAATTTAAAACGGAAAATATCGGATGGCGGACAACGTCGAAAATGCCAGTCGGAGGAGGAATGCGTGAAATACCTACGTGTACGGAGGAAACATTGAATTTCGCACGAATCGATGTTAACCCAACGACGGCGTCACTGTTTTAATAACATTTGATGTACTGTTGTGTAAACCGCAGAAAACGAATCGAGTTTTGGGTCATCTCGTCGTTATGGTGTTTTGATCGGACGCGCGGACGTCGGCGCCAAACATATTTCGTACTTGTCGACGAGGCGATAGCCGATAATAATGCGCAGTCGAGCGGAAAATATTAAATTCGACAGGTACTTACTAGAACAGCTTGGGGAAATGTGTAATAAATCATTTTCGTCGTTCGCGTAGGATATCGTTCGTATACACACTATTAACAGTATATAGTATATATTTTATTCGGAATTTAATACGGTCTCATTTTCGGATTACGATTAACTGCCGGTGGGTATTCGTGGAGGACGGGCTCCGGAGTCGATTTCGGGCCATTTTCGGCTTATGCGTCGAGATCACGCGCGCGAAATTTCCGGCCACAGTGCGGGTACCGCTGAAATGTACAGACTCTGTCAGCTCTGCTATCGTTTTAGCACTCGTATTATTACGAAACGCGTTTGGCAATAAGTCCCATAATTTGGTTGAACTTTTAAATTCGTCCGTTTCAAAGGGTTTATGTCGATATATATTAACGTTGTGTTCACACAATATACGTTATAAACGAGAACGGCACACAAGACGCGAGTGCTAACAAAGGTCAAGTTAAAACTGATAAAAATAATTAGCGGTTGAATGGAATACCTGCGTAAAATGTACAAAAAAAAAAAAAAAATACAAAAATGCCCATGGCGTTTTTCGTCCGTTTCGCAAAGTGTAATAATTATGACGAGCTCTTCGCCACATAAACTGTAGGTTATTTGCAGTGATGATCATCGTTGCGTAATTATAATGCGCGCGAGCATTTTTCGTTTAATCGAAAATTCGTTGATTTCTAATCGGAAAATATTTCTAAAGTTTTCATCGTGTCTATGCTGACGTACGTATGCGTACTCGTGTTTTAATTCTGGATTGTTCCAACAATTCACACGGTAAATTTAACGGATTTTTTTTTTACCGAGTTATCGATAGTCTTGTTACAACAAAACAATCTCTCCCTCCATACATATATCAAGGGTGGCCAGTGAGAAGAGACTCGCGAGCCGCCCAATACGTTAATAAATGAAAGTGCCGGAATGAAAAAAAAAATGGCATATTAATATAAATATATGTATATGATTATCGAAAATAAGATAATATATCAAAATACGTAATAAAATGCGGAGAATTTTCGGAACATAATATTCTTACGAGTCTTTATACTCGACAATGCAAAAAATAAAAACCAAAAATAGCTCAATTTAAACGGATGTTCATTTAACCGAGAATTGTTAATGACGTATAATCCTTACTTCAAAAAACTTACAAAAAAATAAAAAAAATATCATATCAAAAACGCTATACTTTTTTTGTAAATTTTTTCTACAAATTGTAATTTTATAAAATATTACACTCCTTGAAATCCATAAGTTCATAAATTCATATTAGAAAAATGTTTTGTATCTCGCGATAAGATGCGAGCCACACGAGTCAAAGACGAGAACCGCAGTTTGGCCACCCCTGATATATATGTACACAGGAAGTTATATAAACAATACACGCATTAATAATTACCGCGTTCGATAAGACATAAAAAATAATGTAAAGAATAATCGGTTGCGAAAAGAACAATTGTTCGTTAATATAGGTATTATTATTATTATTATTATTATTATTATTATCATCGATGCGTGATGTATTCGTGAAATATCGCGATGTTTACCACATTTTTATTGTTTTTTTTAGTTTCGGTTTTTGTCGAATTTTTCTTTTTCGAAAAAAAGAGTGAATACGACGCTGTATAATTATATTATTTTGGAAAATTTCAGCGGTTCCGTGTGGACAACAATCACCTCGAGTTTATAAATGGCATTGTTGTCGAGGATCTGTCTTTAGAAGGTTTCAACTTTATATCCCAACCCCACCGTCTCGACTGTTTGTATGCTAGCTAAAACCTCGAGAACGGCTTTGACTATTTTGGCGAAACGTTTTTCGTTTGATTCCTCGCCATTGCCGGAACTGTGTAGAACACATTTTACACCTATAGAAGCGGAAAAGGATATAGACCGGTAGACGAAGTCAATGATGGGCGTCTGGTGAATAATACAGATCGTAAACAGAATACCGATTCGATTTGATTTAATTAAATGTATTATATAACATGATTGACGCGCCTCCAAAAACTCTGGCAAAATGGCAACCTTTTAGATAAACTATACAAGTTTCAAAACAATATTGTAACGAGTCCGAGCTCTTTTGTTCGCTTTTTTATTTCTTAATACGCCGAGACGATAACAATGTATAATAAATAAATAAATAATAAATTATTGTAATAGTAGAGTGAGATCGAAATCGTCTGAACCCGCGGACAAGACTTGTTATGCTTGACGTTTAGACTGTAATAATATTATTGGGACGTCGGTGTTCGCGCCACGGTTATCGCGTTGCTGCGTGCACGTGGTTCATGGCGAGTGGTCACAAGTCGACGGGTTAAAAAAATAAATTTCACTACTCTATTATTGTGTGTATCATTGTATTACCGATATATATATATATGTGTGTGTGTGTGTGTGTGTGTGTGCGTATTTATTTTTTTAATTAACCAAATATTGATTCGAGGTTTTTTTGTTTATCTATTCAATTATTCGAATAAATATAACCGTAGACGATTGATATAGATGCGATACGATTTGTTATAAAAAGTGCACGAACCGGAATTTATTATAATATTATTATCGCTGTTTCGTCTGGCATATAATCGCGGTTGTTTTTTTTTTTTTTTTACGCGAATAAAATATACTTTTTCACGGGTCTCGCGAGTTTTTCTTTTCGAATCCGAATGATGTCGAAAATGGTTGGCCGCTATCTATTGAGAGTCCTCGTGCCGAAAAACCGTTTCATCTCTAAACGAATACAATTTATTCGATAGCATGAAATTTAAAAAATAAAATTGTATCCATAGGGAATATCGTATCCGTTTAGTTATCAGTATTCCAAAGTAAAAAAAATTTTTATCTTGAATATCCGTATACACTTTTGATCCAATTGATTGAAAATCAATATGCCGTCATAACCTATACGTAGATATAATGTTATTTAGGTAAAACTTCTTCTAGATAGTACTCCGAAGTGTACTTGTTTGGTGTTTTTGAAGGAGTTTCATGACCCCTGACTCAATATGTTATACGACTGAAGAAAAAACACCTGGAAATCATTTTTTTTGACTCGAAATCTCCATAAAAAAAAGAAAAATTCTCTGCACCGCCGTTAGGTTATCGGTTACAATCGAGACGTTGATTATTATAATAATCGCTTTGAATCATTTACGTATTGCTGTGCAGTCTTGTGAAGTACTTGAGTAAAAGTAAAGATACTTTTTAAATACAGGAACGCAAATTTAAATAAAACAATTCAAATTGTATAACAATTTTATTTATATTTATAGATCATTGGCGTCTTGCTTATTAGTATATTATAATAAAATTGGAAATGCCATTTACTTGAATTACGTTTTTGTACGAACAAAAAAAAAAATCTGAGTACTCGAAAGTATCTATAAATACTTTTGAAAAGTATTTGTATTTGAATATTTTTTTTGTCCGAGTATACAAATACATATTTTAAACACTTTTGGGAATAAGTATCTGTATATGTATTTGAATGTACTTTTTAAAAGTATCTTTTACACGACCGTCGTCGTATTAATACGTATTAATAATTGTTATATAATCGTATTAATTTCGATTACATAACAATATACACACGACGGCCGGTCTCCGTCAACCGACGCGTACTTAATATGCATCGGTCTTTTTTTTTTTGCAAATTAAGGGATACCTATCCCCGGGATCGAGGGAAGACGTGAGGTACGCTAGCTGTTACGCACGCAAAAGACGTATATCTATATTATATTTATGTGTGTGTGTATATATATATATATATATCGTCTGCGTGGGCGATACGTTTTCGAATCCATAATATTAACCCTCTCTCTCGGGCGTTTTATCGATCGGCTACCGCAGCCGCCGTGGCCGCTGCCGTCGCCGCCGCCGCCGACCCGGTTTTCCTTCGATTTTGTCCGTCACCGAGGACCGAATCGCCTAGGTTTATATTGTTATTGTTTTATTCCGATAAAAGCGTATTATATCAATCAGTGGCGGTTTTAGGAATTTTTTCGGGGGGGGGGGGTTCCATTGGTATTACCTGTGCATTTAACATAAACGGATATTTTCCCATTTTGATCATGCATTGATTTATTTTAAATTGCCCAACTTTCACTGTCAGTGAAAATAATTTTTTTTTTCTCACTTACATAATCTAATCTAACCTATGTTTTTACAAACTTCCAAAGCCATTATCCATTAGCTAATTCATTATACAATTAGGATAATGGGGACGAGTGCAGTCACTGCTGTAGACAATTTAATGTAGGTATATCTGTAAGCAACGATTAACCATTGCTAATGAAAAAACTATTCTGAGCGGAATTCGGTTCATAATGTTGCTTCGTCAACAATATGGTTATGGTAAAATAATTAAAAATGCATTATATAGTTTCTTTAACATTATTTGTTTAATATTGTACCTATTTGCCCGTGTTTCTCAATTATTGGGTAAACTCCTGGGAAAATCAAAAATGACCTCGCGAAAGTGCGTCCCTAGTCCGATTTCCTTTTAGAAAAAGCGCCATGATTGTAAATTGTAACGAAATTGCTGGTAGAAAAATTGTTCGCAGGATTAAAAAAGACCGAAATATTTTACTAATATATTACTTAAATTTTCTCGTTTTTTTTTTTCTAATTTTTCCCACTTGATAAATATATCATGCATAATATAAAAATTTTCATGTAATGTATATATAACGTGTATAAAAATAGAATTATAACTCGTATAAATTTTCAATAGTTTTCGTTTTTTTTTTAAAAAAAAAATTTTAATGACAAACTAATCAAAGTCTGGGGGGTAGTCCAGACCTCCTCGACCCCCTCGTAAAACCGCCACTGATAATGATATTGTACACAACGATGCGCTTTACTACATTCTCCGCAAAAAAAAAACGAGCCGTCGTCGATGATCATTTAATTACTGTATGTCGAAGACATCGTAACCGAAAAGGGTATGCCGGTAACAATGGTCCGCCCGGAAATCTCCACGAGTCCCGGCGGTAAAAGTTTTGCAAGTTTACGCGGTTTAATCGTCGTCGATTGGACAGCCCGGGGAAAACAAATAAAACCCGCCGCAGACGCGAGGTCAACTTTCACGCAACTCAAAATGTAAAAATATAACGTACGTAAATCAGCCGTGATATTTTAATCTGATTTCCTTTGTAATTTCTCTAAGTGGCCTTCGACGGAGGTCATGATAGTCGCCCAGATATATGGAAAAAAAAAAAACTATTGAAAATTTCGACGATGGAGCGAGCATCTCCGGCAAATTAGCACATGATATAGGAAATCAGAAATCTATGAAAAAAAAAAAATCGTCCAAAACACAAGGTCCTGCGTAGGGAAATTGGAATTTCAGAATCGCAGACTCCGCCATGGGTTTCTCAGTCGACGACGTCGCCGGGTCTGGGAAAACGAGTGACTATAATAAATAGTCATCAAAGACAGGTGAACTAAAAAAAAAAAAAAAAATTCCGTCTAAAAACGTCGCGCTCTCTGCGGTTTCAACGACAATTTACTACATGTGATGGCTGGTTTTTTTTTTCCGTCGACTTTCGCCGACACTCCCCGCATGTTATTGTACTTATTCCCCGTCGACGACATTTTAAACGACTTTTGTTCACCCGTGTGATTACACGTGTGCGCTGTTAGAAAATATTTAAGGACCACACGGACGGTCCCGCATCGTTTTTTCGAAAAATTCACCGACCGACCGTCGAAACCGCCTCCTGCCGAGCGTACGGGTATCGATTTACACTCACGGTTAGAGACACGGCCTTTCTGTTTTGTTTTTTTATTATTTTAACACAGCTGTGACGGACTTCCAACAGACGTCTAGACGCGCGGATCGTTCGACGGAGCGCAATGTTTCTCGTTTGAGGTTATTGTTGTCCCCCCTCCTATCGTAATTATATAGATAATAATTTATTACGAATATTATCGAACGCGCGGTGAACGACCGACAACACGCGACGTTTTACGCGTCGCAAAATATCATCACGATATTATATTTACGCACTGCAGTTACGATTTATGGGAACATATTTTGATTGTAATCAGTTTTCATTTTTACGAGCCGATTTTACGGGTGGTCGTTTCCGTATACGGTTCGGAACCCGCGATCATTTTCGGACGTCTTAATTGTGTTGGACGGAGAAGAAATTAATCTGTACACTCTACAATCGGTTTTATGGACGTAAAAAATAATAATATACGGATTCAGTAGTAATAAAATCAACGATAAAATAATTCTACATAAACTTCTCTGTCCTGCGCGATGCATAGTCGCGCTCCCGGTTCCCCTCTATTTTTGGGACCGGGGCCTACGTTGTATAAATTATACAGAAGTGACCTAGTCATGATATCTTTAATGTCAAAAAAAAAAAAAAAAAGGGGAAGATCCAGCCCGACGACTATAGTCATTATCCGTACATCCACTTACGGAAGAAATGTACACAAGTCACAAACTTATTTTCGAGTATATGACAATAAAATAGTACAAACACGAAAATAATAAATTACCAGAATACAATTAATACGAATGCAATTACCTCAAACTGCTCAAACAAAATTACTTCAAGTAAGTAAAGTAAAATGCGAACTATTTCTAGGGACGTCGTTCAATAGGCTGCAATAGTGACGGGGGACAGTAGACAGGCTTATTTTCTAAGACTGTGGGCTCTCTTGGGCTATACCCGCGGTACCGCGAAAACCGATTTTGAAATCAATGAAGCATATAATACTTTTTAATATCGGTTTACTAGAGGAGTTTAAAAAAACGCTAATAAAATATGGTTTTACCGCTGTGTTTACCTTATCGCGCGATAACAGCGAATGTTCTAGAATGTATTTTTAAAATCAAGGAAAATGAGATCATCTCCGTATTAAACAAATTAAAAAATAGTAATCGTGTCTTGCGTATAATAAAAACGTTCGAATTAAAAATATAAAAACCGAGTAGGTACTTAAACGTTTAGCAGTAGAGTTTAAAAAAATAAAAATTTTTTTTTTTTTTTTTATTACCGTTTAACGGTCTAAATTGGCCGAACATGCAGGCGAATATAATTATATTGTAGATTGTGAGTTTTACTAAACCGTTAAAAAAATTAAATCTTGTTCGTACACTTGTTTTGTATAATATAACATATATATATATATATATATACATATTTATAATTGAACGAGAGGATTTCGAATTGTCTAACATAATAAAACAAACGTTAATTTTTTTTTTATTAAAAAGATTGCCAGTAATTTTTCGCCCAATAACAATCAACAAAGTAAGTACTATTACCAATTATGTATTATTATTCTACGAGGATTCGAGAAAATAGCAAAAAAATCGTATTTCGACAGTAGGCATTTTTTTTTTTTTTTATATGTACTCGTGTGTTTTTTTTGCAATTTCATGGAACGCGTGATAAGCGAAAAAGAAGACCAGGAGTTAAAGTGGAGGGATTCCAAGAGGACGTACAGTTCCTCTAATTTTGTCCGCGCTTACAAGGCGTCTTCGCTTTATCATACTCTTCAAAAGGTACGCAAGTAAGAAAATTATCACTAATTCCTGAAGATGAAGTGTCCGTTGGTATTTTTTATTATTTTACGTTTTCCATGTATGTCATTTACCGCACGCCGTCAGTTCGTTGTTCTAGACAACAATCAATGGACTGAAGATGGAACGCTCAAAATAAAATGGAGATTACAGTGCCCTTTGCCACTTCAAACTCTGACTATATCGACGTATTAGAACACGCGTGTAAAAAATACAGAGTGATAACTTATTCGATTTTCGACGATTGCCAATATATTGTTTAATATTTTATGGTAAATATGCATCAAAACTTAAAATGGAAAACGCCGATAAAAATATATAATATACATTTTTTTCATACCAAGAATATTATCAACTCGTATAACGTCGAATTGTCAGATTTCAAGGATTCGTAGGAAAAGCAATTGGCCAAATCTGCGATTAAATCGTGTAACTGCTGTATGATATTAATGTTATGTTTGAAATTCTAATTAATTTCCTTTTCTTGGTTTTTTTTTTTAATTTTATTTTTCAGAACGATAATCAGTCTGGTTCGCGCAGACCTCGCGGTGTGAACCGGGGGGGACCGGGGATACGAACGATAATCAAATTATTATACAGTTACAGATTGGAACGTGTTTTTTTCACGGCGACGACGACGACGACGACGACGCGAAGGCATAAATCGTTTAAAATATACAGTAAACATATGAATATTGATTGCGATATACGTGTATTATTTAGATAAAATAACAGCGCCGCCGCAAAGGTTACATAAAAAAAACAAAGTTTTTACTCTGTCCAATGTATAGTAATAGTTATATAATAATGTGGGCCTAATAACCTTTGAAACGTGCGTAGGTATTGAATATTGCTCAACGCGGATTACAATTTTAAAAAAAATTAAATAAATAACCATGCGGAATTTATATTCTCCTAATAGAACCGAAACAACACGATGCCTAATATTATATTCTCTTGACGATATTTGAAAATAATATTTCGTAAAATATGCGAAAAAAAAAAAAACAAAACATACTATAGGTATCATAGGTTCATATCGTAAAATATAATATATTTTCTCAACAACGTCGAAATATTTAAAACATAATTGTGTATTTTTTTAATTTTTATATCGAGAACCGTGGACACACAATATCATATTCCCGTAGTCACGCATATGCATTCAATAGTAACATGTGTTTTTACATAAAAAAAAAATCCGCGTTCTACACGATAGTATTATTACGATGACTGCAACAGCAACAGCAGCAGCAGCTGCAGCTGCAATAACTCGAACGATGGGGGTTTTCAAAAGTCAACGGTTCACGTCTGGTAAAATGCATTGGTATGATTACGTTCAATTAAATGTATTTACTGGAAAATCGCAATATTATTCTCGCGAAAATATCGGAAAACAGGTACTCCTGATCCCGTTATTGAAGCCTTTTTGGTTTTTAACAATTTATATAGAAACCTCGCGCAGCTCCGATTTTATTTTACCGTTTACGAGATTTCGTTTTAACCCTGCGAGGGGATGACAATTTAATAACGAGAATTCGTGTCCAACAAATGCGTTTTCATTTCGATATTTGTGCGCTCCGTTTGGAAAATTGTTTATCCTTCCGACCGCCTCGTTGTCTATATAGTCGACTCCGGTATCATTGTTTTATGTATTTCTTTCGGTTTTGTTGTACTATACGTTTAATCGCTGTGTCGAAATGAAATACGATATTCCCAACACGGCGCGTCATTTTTATTTTATTTATTTTTGTAATTACATGTTCGCAGTATATTATGCAAGTTTCCGAACGCGTTTTTCGTTTAACCGGCGTAACGTCAGCCTTGAAGTTTTTCGTATTTTTTTTTTTTTTTCTATAGAAATAGTGTAGAAAAAAAAATTTAAAGTTTATACGAAATAATACCTCTACATTATAATTTTGAAAACGCCCATTTCAATATTGAATCACGGGTTTTCGCCATGCATTCCAACAGCTATAACAAACAAGAACTAAATATTTATGTCGTCGATAGGAATTACTTTTTTGTCTAGAGGTTTGTGTGTTCGCTTCGGAGAATTGATCCAAGGCTCTTGGATATATTATAAGTAAGTGTTGACATTTCGGAAACAACTACTGCTGCCTATATAACTACTGCAAAAAGAGCATGTCATGTTCAAATTTTTTCAATTTTTCGAGAAAGACAATATATAAATTCTTTAAGCACCTAGATAATATTTCATACAATTTTTATAGGAACGTATAGATGTCATCGAACACTGTAGAAATAATAATAATAATAATTAGTTATGAACATAGGAAGCATTTATTTTCAATTATTTTCATAGATATTAAATGTGTTAGTCTTATTTGAAAAATGTAGAAATTCGAACATGTGCCCTTTTTCCGTTCAGCAATCCATATAATTCTATTTGAGTTATATCAAATCGAAATTCAAATGTCAAAATTTGAGTAAAAATGACGTACTGTTTAACCTGCAAATACAATCGTAATTGTTTTAGCACGAATTGACGTCGAAGAAATTATTATTATCACTATTATATTGTAATTCGCAGTAACATTTTAATAATATTATTAAAAATACTGTATGTGATTCGCGCCATCCTATCATAGTCGCGACGACCGACTGCCGTTAGTAATAATTGAAACCTATTTTATTTTTTTCGTCGCGTTATCACTATGCTATTTTATCGTTCGGCGATCGTGAAATAATAAATATTTTTCATCCACGAATAAAAAAAAAAAACAACAATAAATTAGGGTGGCGTTTAAAGAATTCCGTTTTAAAAGATATACATATTTCCAAGGACGCGAAGTGTTTTGTTAAAAACTTGTTTAAATGTTTAAAACTTTTTAAAAATAAATATTTTCTATTATTTTTGAATCGAGAAGTAACAATTTATTTATAATTAGCTATACATACATAATATGGTAAAAAAAAAAAAAAAATAAAAATTGAACGTTTTAAACATGATTAAAATGTACACATTTTGTTTGCAATTAAATAGGTATGTTATAAAATAAAACAAAAATGCGTTTGAAACAATTTTCCGTTTTTTACTACTACTACTACTTATTTAGCGGCCTTTAAAATATTATTAAACGACATCGCACTATTTTCTAATGCACTCAAACAGCGTGCAGTCAAACATTGAGCACACGCAGTCGAACATTGAACAACGCATCCTAATCACGATACATATTATTTTTTACAAGTACTTGTTGACTGTTTTCAATCATGCATACCTACGATGGAAAACAACGATCGGTTTAGGTACGGCAATAAAATTCCCTTAAAAATACATACACGAGTAAATATTGTTATAGACAATAAACGCACATCGAATCGGTATGATTTATCATCATACCCAACGCACTGTAATATCATTTCGAAAAACAATAATAATTTATCGTTGAATAGTAGACTTTTCCGGGTACGATGTCTAAACGTCTTTCTCCCGTTCGCGCCGTCGCTCGGTGACTCGACGATGCCCGGGTTCGTTAAAAAAACGAAATCGGACAGCTAATGGCGCAGGTGGTGGTTGTAGTACAATTTTCGCGGCGTAGTATCGTTATATTGTATATAAATATGTATGCATAGTATGGTTTTAGTATAATTTACGACTATAAATCTCGGGATAATGAATAATTATTGCGTCAGATTAGGCGAAGACGAAAAAAAAAAATGCAAACAAATTATATCGGTTGCGCCGTTATTATCAGTCGTGGTAATCAACGAAATGTGTTTCACGGTATTTTTTACTACCAATACGGTACGTTTGTACTATTTTTATTAGAACCGTACACGAAATAATCGAAAAATATTAATTTGACTTATTATAAAAGACTTATTTTTTTTTTTTTGGTTTAGACCGTCCAAAGCGGTCAATTTTTAAAACGGCCGTGCAAAACGCAAATCCTGCGATATTCGTTTGCGAAGAGTCTCCTTCGCGCCTGTGCGAAATTTCCACGTTCAACAGAATCGGTTTTCAGCCGTAATTTTAAAGCCGATAACGTATCGAACTTAAAGGCGATCTATCTGCAGTGGTCATAGTTTGGTTTTTTTTTTTTTTTTTATCGATACGGCATCTATATATAATATATAGTGGCGCCGAACACTTACTTCGGCCTGTTAAATTGAACCGCAAATCAATTATTTTCTATATTACTTGCGGCCAGCTGTTCCGGATTTAAAATTGTATTATAGTTATGGCGACCCGAGCGTGTTTTAAGTTAATAACATCCCTCCCCCTACGGAAATGTCAATCAAATAAATACCCTAGAGGGGAAGAGGTTATTTGAACTGCCGATTTCGATTTCGTTCGGCGCCACTGGGCCACTGTATTATATTTAAGCGAGATATACGCGGTTTTTAAATTGTGATATTTCCATTCATATTTAGATACATGACACAACTATTATGGAAATTGACTGCAGTAACGGCTCGTGAGCCTTGTAAGTGGCGAGGAACATGTTTTGAAAACTACAATGTGCGTTAACATACACGGATAGACAAATATATGTACTATATGTATCAGAAATATCAAAATGAAACGGTGAAATTTGTTGAAAAATATTCGAAATCAACCGCACGGTATTGTAGTATTTTAATTCTAATAGTCTAATATCGTTTCTACGTAATGTATACAGGCGTAAAATCTCGACGTCAAATTAATAACTGTAGCCGGTTACCAAAAGAAACTTATACTTACTAAGCTCTGTTGCTGTACAATATGCTTAGCAATACAAAATGCACTCTTACAGTGTTTCCGGTTGCCAACTTCATACTTGTTATAGGACGTAATTGTACACGCAGTCAGTTATCTAAAATAGTCGCGTTATATGTCTATGGGCATTTCACACGCCTAACGTTAAATCTCGCTATGAAATCAAATTTTCGAGATAAATCGCAACACATAAAAGCACGGACAACCGCGTTTTACTCATACCTTCGTGTTTGATAATAATAGGTCGATTCGCTGTAACACTAGGTACCGATCACCTAACAAGCACGAATTCGGTGCTGCTGTACGCGAATTCGTCAAACGTGTAAGTCGAGAGACAACACGTCACGTGTGGTGTGCGGCGTGTGCGGCGTCCCTTTGACGACAGACTCTGCAGATTATTCTGACGAATTAAAATTTAAAACAGTTATTATAATATTTAAGCTGAAAGCGAGATGAATATTCGGTCCGTCATCTGCAGTACGGTGCGGCCGAGCCAAAATAAGAAGAGTTCGTTTTAGAACGGTCTTTTTGGCACGTTATCAAAATATCGTAATATACATGTACATAGGTGTACATATATACTTACGCGACCACTACACCTATTATAATATATATTTTTACAATTAATGTCAGTTTTTTTTTATTTTTTTTTTTTTTTTTTTTTGTAAACACTTGGATCTAGAACGGATCGTCTCGTCGTTATTATTACGATGCCGGAGGGTAAAATATTTTACGGCCATGAAATAAACGTCAAAACTCGCACATGACATTAGCCCTAACCTGATACCGGTTAACGGCTGCAGCATTTAAATCGGGAAAGAAAAACAAATTTCGACTGCATAATATTATCGTTACGTTTGTAAATAAATCGTGTAACTATGACTGCAGCTGCGACAGAAATAAATTGCACCGCTGTGTTTAATTTTCACAAATTTACTACCTACTGATTTTTCAGACCCCGAGTGCGTATAACGGAGAAGCTTACTAAGTTTTACTAAGATGTGTTTTTTCCTTGGAAAACGATTTCTTTTGACGAATAAAAATATGATATGCTGCGATTTTGATATTTTCTAAACGATTAAAAAGAACAAAAACCGAAAACAAATGATAATATTTTTATTTTGTTCTTGTATTGTTTGCTAGTTTACCTTTTTGGCTACAAGAGGATACCGCGCAACTAAAATACTGCGCACAACCGTACCTAAATTTTAACCGAGTTCCGCTCAGAATCGATTTTAGATTACAAAGATTTATCGTTGCGTTCAGTATATCTTCAAATATATCGACCATACAATTAATTTCCTGACTTCCCATTTACAACAGTATGGTCTTTTCGTGATGCAAAATGTGTCTGGCCTTTTTATATAGTTATTAAATATTATAAAAAAAAAAAAAAATTAACAACAACAATTCAAGTAAACCGCAAGTACCTACACTGTTGTAGTACGGTTGTATAACGAAATTCGATTGGATTTTGGGCGATTAAAACAAAAACGTTATTGCGACCGTCTTCGTTTTTATTTCGAGAAGAAAATTGCTCGACCATAAAAAATTTAATTTATTATTTTTTGTGAGAACAGCGCATCTACTTTTATACCGCAGGATTTATCGCGTCCGACGATTATTGTATTATTATTACACGCCCGGTATTTTAATATAACAATATTCAAAATGAAATCACGTCGTAAACTGCACAGATATTTGATTAAACCAAATATTTTATGTCCGGGCGCGCTAAACAACTGATAATATTATATTTTAGTTTGATAATTATTGACGATAACCCGACACACACGCACCCACACAAAGTAATACACTTGAGCAATCGTTTCTCAACACGTCACTTCAAAAGCGAAGACATTCGATTGTTGTGTTACAGAGAGTAAATTATAAGTAAAGACAATCGTTTATTTTACACAGGTTAACATTTTATTGAAAAATCGATAAAAAGAAATTACATTTTTGAAAAATCGGATGGCCTGTGTACCATTTCGAAATTGAACAAAATCGTGTCGGCTGACGTTGTGATCGGAATAATTAGACTGTTCGAATTTGGTGTTGATAAACGATAATTCCGTTATCGATAGAATTAATGGCTGTGTAAGTGAACGTTAAACGAGTACCAGAATGAAGAATTGCTGGCAAAAGACCTCTAGGAAGGCGCAGGAAAGATGTGGTGGAAAAGGGTTTAGAAACGGTCAACGAAAATATACAAATTGAGGAGACATTATATGACAGGTTGATGGAATGACGTGGAGGCAGCGCTGGGACTTCATGGCTCGCTAAGATGTTTAAGAAAAAAAAAAGAAGGAATAAGTAATAATTATTATTATTATTTGTACCGAACGTGCTCAGACGAGGCCGTATGCGAATCATTGTCCGGCGGACAGTGAACACGTGACAACAGTCGCCGCCGTAAAAAATTCGATGAGAAAAAAAAAGAAAACGTGACGATTAACTATTTTTGAACGATTACGCGTACGTTGTGTGCGATAAAAAAATGTAAAAATCGCTTAAAATGATTTAATATAGTAACGGTAGTGGCGACGGCTAGCCGACGATCTGGCAAATTGCTCGTATCGGCGCGCGCGGTTGGAGGTTAGGTACGTTTTAATTTTTAACAAATTTATTACTATCGCGGTGGCTTGGTTATACGAATTGATTGCGTGCGTTTTATAGGCCACGTCAATAAAGATAATATTCGATTAAAATATCAAGTTCCATCGCTCGACGTTTTTCACTTTTTCGCTGACTTCAATGTTGGATTCTGAAGTAAGTCTTAAAATTTTTTTACTTTTTAGAGCTTTTTGCGACTTATTTATAAACGTCTTCTTTTTTTTAAGATAGTCCGTCATTGTCTAACACCCACGTTATTATGTTGCAAAAAAAACGTTCTCGCTGACATCGTTTTGAGATTTTCGCCAGTCTGTGATTTCAATTCCGTAAAAACCTCAACAATATATATATGATTGTTCGACATCTATAGATTAATCGAGGCATTTTTTTTTTCGAAATAAAATTTATTGAATTTCCTATAAGACCAATCGAAAACGTCCGTATTGTTGTCGTTTTTATACTAACGCATTATTATGAAATGTATATTTCAGAAAAATGTCTTTAAAAATGTCTAGAACAGACGTCAAATAATCACCGTAAAGTAGTTTTTTTAACAGAATTGTAATCGAACCAGTCGAAATCTCAATACATGCTATCAGAAAGAGAGCAATTATTTGTATTAGTTTGGAAGTTTGTTTAAAAAAAAAAAAACCTCTTCAAAGTTCAACAAAATATACTTTATTTGCCAACATGATTGAAAATCAAAAACGAGTTTTCGAACACTGTCCTTCGTCCGATTGTCTTCGAAAAATATCTCTCGACATTTTTTTTCGTATCTAAGTAGTAGTTTAAACACCCAGGTACAATAATAATTTGTATAAAGTGACGCGTACCTAGAGGATTGTGCAATTTATTTTCAATGGTTTAAAGACGGCCGCTTCGATGAACGACGAATATTCATTGGCTTTGTCGACGACGCATGTCCGCGACTTTGATACATCGAGCACTCGAATCCGTTGCGTTTTAAATGCGAGCGAGAAAATGAAAGTGCACTCGGAAAAAGCTCGACGGGAAAGTATACAAAACACGTTTTGTCGTTTTTGATATTTCGCGAACAATATGATTTTTTTTATTTTTCATTCTCGTTCCTCTCGACCACTTTGCGTATACCTATTCGTACCTAGGTTTTTTGTACCAGCGTGATGTCGACTAAAGAATCTCAACGACTTTTTTAATTTTTTTTTTTTTAAATGTTAATACTTTGTACACAAGAATTTTTTTTTTCACACACTATAATAAATTACGCTTGCTAAATAAAAGCGGTCTTGAAAATGTGTAACTTTTTCGGGTCGCGTTTAAATGCCGTACTCTCGATTTTCATTAAAATGTTTCAGTTGCAATATATAAACGTGATTTAATTTTTAAAGAGGGGAATTTATTAGGAACAATCATTCTGTACGCGCGTGTGGAACGAAAACAACGTCGGATGGATTTCAAATTATTTGATGTAGGTAGTTTATATATTACGTTAAGACGCTTCGTCATAAATTTGTCGTTTGCCCTAACAAAGGCATTTCGCATTTCCACGATTGTGATTCTCCGGTTAAGTTTAAGGCAAAGAGACCACATTAAATTCAATTAATAAAAAAAAATAGAGTATTTACTAGGACCTCAACGAGTGATTTTTTAAATTTTCACATTTTTTGAAGTTATAGATATGAGTAAAAAAGAATTTTATTTCAATTAAAAAATGCAAACAGGTATCTAAATTTTAAAAAACGGACATACTTCGCACGTGGGTGGGCCACTGTTGTATTTTTCCCATTTGTTTGGAAAATATTCTGGGAAATTAAAAAATAACCTCCTCAAAACACCTCCCCAGTGAGATTTCCTTTTCGAAAAAGTGCTATCATTGTAAATCTAAGCAAAATTGCTAACAGAAAAATTGTCCACAGAAAAAAGAAAAACATCAATTTGCTTGTAAATCAATGGACTTTATTGCTATAATATTTCACGCGAAACACGTGGACAGAGAAAGACAGACGAAGAAAACAAATATTAGTGATGAGACTCCTTAGGTTAGGTTAGGTTAAGCTCCCTGCCCTTTGCAAACCAATCGATTGAATAAACGTGGTCGCGGAGTTAATGAGTCGACAAAACCGACGGATTTAAATGGCGAAAATCATTTTCCGGGTTCCGTGAATAACCTCGTGTAATACGACACCGTCGATAATGTTTTAATTTAATTTAATTGAAGCGCGGAAGTTATAAAATCTCGTCGTTTAACTGTCTCTCTCCCTCGTTTTCTCTATAGTCTTATAATCGAATCGGTTATAAAGAGGAGGAGATACGCGGCTGCCGACAGCCGATTATTATAATAACGTAACGTAATCAGCCCGCGTGCATTGTGAATACGCTGAAATCATCGCGTACAACAGATAACCGGGTATAATAAAGTATAAGTGTAGATAAATAGATGACAATAAAAATATAAAAAAATTACCGTTTAAAACGATAAACTTGAAAATTTAATGAAATAAATTGTGTTAAGGCGTCCGGTGCCAATTTCGTATTGCTCACAAAAATTAATTAATACGGAAATAGTGATAATGTTCAATTGAATCAACCAAATTTAACTATTTATTTTTTTTTAATCAATAGAGAAAAACATTCTACACACCGCGTTGAACTCGGTTTTTCAATATTTTATTTTCAACATTTATAATGAGTCTTTAAAAAAAACAAATTTTAAGTTTTGTTTTTTTTTTTGCCTTATTTAAAATTAGAATTTAAAAATCGGAGATCATTTCGGCTTGTAGAATGTTGTTGTTTATCAATAACAATTTTTTTTTTTTATGAAAATATTGAATTTACAATGAGTTAATTTCTGTAAAGTTATGTTCATCAGTAACAACTGCCCCAGCCCTTCCCCTAAATGGATATCGGGTAGTAGATCAGTAGGAAAATCTTATTTTTAAGGTGACAATTGAAATGTTAAAAATAATTTTTAAATTTTTCTAAAATGGAAAAAATTTGAAAAACTCACATCAAGCCCTATAAGATGATCTGATACATCATTATCCTTATCATCTCTCCACGTCTAACATACATTGCATAGCAATCTAGATCAGTATTTTTAAGCGATCGATGTACAGAAAGGATACTAATTCTGAAAACTGCGCGAAATGTCCATAAGATCGGTCAGGACACTTATTCGAATTTTTCAGTTCTTAACTTCCAAAAAACTAGATTTGAAGATCTTATAATGTATAAAGAAAAACCTCACACTTCACGGTGAACTGAAATCTGTTTTCAGAATGCTTCATAACATCGACCAAACCGAAAAATTGGTCTCAATCGTTTTGTTATGCTTAAGAGGATTAGAAAAGGAACGGAGCCATTTAAAATCTTTCTTTGTCAACGAAAAAATCATCAAATTATATACAGCTCATACAAATTGCAGTTTATTATTGGCTTTTTGTCTCTAACAGTGGTGTGCCCAGTTTAAAGAAGAAGGGATGTAGCAAGCAATTATCATAATTTTTGAATAAACAGTGAAAATTCAGAAAGTCGGTCCGAAAAGTTCAATTTGTATTCAACAAATCACCAAGTTGTTTTCCTTGTAATTTAGCTAAAGTATATAATTTCAAGTTAAAATTACTAAGTAAACACTAATAACTATAACTGTTCCGTTTTAAAGCCAATTGAGGGGAGGGTGATATAACTCCTAATCTTCCCACCCCGCGGGCGTCACTATTATCGACACGATATTTAAAAGTCACTTTTCGTTTACTTTTCGTGTATGCGAACAGATTTTTGCACGTTCATAATTATATTGGCCGTTTTAATTGGAAAGAAAAATACGGCAAACTATTCAAACTCTATTCAAAATATAAATTATTACTTTATCGATAAACTCGATACATATTTAATTATAATCGCTGTGCAATTAACTATAATATTACAAATTATAATACATAAGAATGACGGCGTCACGCGGACATTTTTTGCTGATATAATCGACATGAGTTGTTTTTTTTTTTATGTTTTTTAATATAAAGTATGAATCGTTTTTTCAAATCGAACGTGTGTACATATATATATATTGAATCGTGTATGGATCGCGCGTGTAGTATAATGTATAAATTATAATTAATTATAATCGTCAGAGGCAACGGATTAAAAAAAAAAAGTATCTGCAATTATAACGTAATTTTATTCGAATTAACTGCAGCAGTGTCGTGACCAGGAGGGGAAGTTGGAGGGGAAATTATATTTTTGTATTATTAGGTAGGTACCTACTATTTGTTATTTTAGAGTAATAGAATACCTATATATATATATATACTAAAATTTAAAAAGGTAGAATATATTATAGGCGAGTTATTCAATTAATACCTATACGAAACGATGGATCATAGATCATAGCTAACGAAAAACGGTTCTGAACACAAAGTTCGGTTAGTTTTGTTTTGTTGAACATTTTTAATTACGAAATAAATAACAATATTGTTTTTTATGTTTCCGATGTATGAACATTTGAATAGAGCCGAAATAGTTGTATTCGCATAAATCGAAAAATAGTATTCGAAATGCTGTGATTTATCAACCAGAAACCTCTAATGAAATTGAAGATTTAGAATTTAAGATCATTAAGATTTAGAAAAATTGTTTAATACGTCATTCAGGAAAAACTGTATCAAAAACCACACGCCAACTTTTAAACAATACATTCCTCGCTTCGTTCAGAATCTAAAAAATTTCAGTGGAATCTCCTTCCCCGCTAAATGCACTTCCCCTTGGCTACGAAACTGAACTTCAGTCTGTATAATTATGACAGCGTGGGGGGAAAAAGCCGTCGCGGCTTGTCATTTCGTCGTTTTCCTTCTAACACACGTCATAAACGGAAAAACCTGTTTAATAAAAAACGATAAAACATTTGGATACGACCGACGATGGCGATAAATCATCAACGTTTTCGCGCTTCGATTCGTTTTCCCGAGTACGTGGGCTGCACTCGTGTGTCCGACCGATAACGGCCTGGGCCCTTAACGCCTTATTGATTCCGGTCCGTTTAATAATATACATCTGCGCGGTACCTACTCGATTATATAGGAGATTAATTCTCGGACGTCCGTATGAATTGATGTTCGTTGGACGAGATATAATAATAAAAATAAGGAATGACTATATGAGCGCGTAATGGGGCGTGCTTTTCGATTTGATTATGACGCGTATTTATGATGTTCGATCGGTTGGTTTTTTGTCGACTGACAAATTTTCTACCGGGAATATGGCTCCGAATTTCAAGTACAGCATCATTTCTGATGGACAAATTTATCTATAGTAGGTTTTCGAGGCGATCGTTTTCTATTTCCATTGTAAACGGTTCAATTACACGGTTTTTCTGTTGTAATTCGGTTAGCAAAAATTTCAACGATAATTCCTAAATGAATTACAATAAAAAAAAAAAAAAAAATCGAAAATAACAGAAAACCGTTGTGGCGTAATGATTTGCCCTTTTTTTTTTATTTAGAATGCTACAAGAAAAATCAACAAAATGCATCCTCAATGCACGAAATAGATAACATTTTTTACTAGAAATAAAGATACTAGGCTTGAAACGGAGCAAGATTTTTGGTTAAAATTTGTTAAAAATAAAATAAAATAAAAATGTAGACAAAAATAAGGTAAAACCGATAATCGGTCAAAATATCCACGGATAAAACATCCAAATTTAAACATTTAGAGAACGTTTTTTCTTAACACAAACATTTTGAAACGTCAATATACTCAAATATTATAATATAAAATGTTGAAATGTTAAACAATTTAATTGCGTACATTAGTAGATAACACTGTATTTTCTTACAAAATCAACTCAAATATTAAATTATAAATTTAGCCCGTAAAATTAATTCAACCTAGATACGTTGTATTACCAACAGGAAAATAAATTACTTTAATACCTACCAGTAATATCACCAAATATACTTCACTAACATTAGTCGTTTAGTCAAATAGTATAAAATAAAATGTGAGTTAAAATGCGAAATAATTCAATAACGTACATTATTTTCTAATAAAATTAGCAATAGCATTTAAAAGTTTGGAATATCCCCACCACCATCATCGGGTGTTTTAATTTATTTTTGATTTTACTTTATATCTGTGGTAGTCCAATAATACTTTATTACTATACAATGTATTTATTTTTTTTTAAACAACTTATGTTTACTATACAAGTATACACATTTATAACTGTTGTCTAAGTAACTATATGATACAATACAAGTGAATAATTTAAATTATTAATATAAATTAATACAATTTTATAATTGCTACAATTTCTACTTTTTTTTTTTATATTTAATAAGAAATCTTATTCAACATTAATGTGCTTTTAGACTTGAGTATTTTGATAATTTCATCATTGTCTATTTCCTCTATTTTGTCTAACATCTTGTTCTAGATTTGAAATCTAGATCTTGTTTACTATCACTTTATGTACTACATGAACAAAATCTGTGTATACCTTTTTATATTCTAAAAAGAAAAACATTGTCAATGCTTGCAATTGTATAATTTAATAATTGAGCTAATTTTATTAGAGAATATAAAAGACAACTACTAATTTATTTAATTAAATTATCCGACATTCAAATTTAAATTCTATTTTATATTATTCGAGTATAGGTATCGACGGTTCAAAATGTCTGCGTTTATTTATAAAAACGTTTTCCTAAATTCGAAAATTTGGCTATTTAAAATAAATAAAATAGCCGAGCGCTCGATCGGCTCAGAATCTAAAAAATCAAATTGTATATGAGATGAATATAAGTAGTTCTCCGAATTTTAATACCTAACATAATAATACAGTTATTTACGAAATGTTAATATTATTATTATTTTATACTATTTTTCTTTTGTACATATGTGAATTTCAAAAATAGAAAATGGTCGACGTCGTTATAAAATAGACACGAATGTTTTCATATTTTCTCCCATGTGACCGGACGTATATTTCAGTTAGTTACGTCCTAATCGTCTTGCTGGAACTATACCCCAGGGGCCATAATAAAATCGAATATTCTCTTTTATCGAACGATTTCGAATAATACACTATTTTCTTTGATCAAAACAAGTCAAACACAATAATATTGTAGAGTTCAACGACGGCGATCAAACAAATAAAACGAACGAGTAATGATAAAAAAAAAAAGTCGATGGCAAACACTCTCAGTATAGCTTCGACATTTCTCGAGAGAATATTTGTCATCGAGTAAAATTTCACCGCCTTTTCTGCCGATGTTTTACCGAGGAGACGAAATATTCGGGATTCAGAAATCCGTGGGCCACCGGTTTATAGAAATTCAAATTCAAGAAATCGTTTTGATTTTAAGAATATCGATTACGGAAATAAAACGACGATATCATTATTATTACGGCGTGGTAAAAACCAAAACAAAAAGAGAACAAAAGTCCGCGAGTATACGAAAATTCGTACGGAAACTCGTTGCATGCCACGACTATACGCACAACAATAATTATTATGCTTACCGGTGGCGGCTCCCCACGAAACTGTTCCGGAAATACAATTTCGTTCTCACGCGATTTAATATTTTATCATAGAACGCGTACGGGACACGTATCTACGTGGCACACAATAAAAATAAACGTGAAGTGTCTATCCACGTGTCCTGGCTGATCCCGGAAACGGCCGAACAAAATCCGATGGGACTTTCACTGCGAGAGATAAGATAGGAGTTTCTGATTGGGGCGGGATTTAACCACATACACACTTGATTTTATATTCCGAGTGTAGCGATAAGAACAAGCCATTAAGTATATAGTTGAACTACGTGTGTGTTTTTTCTTCTCGGAAAACACCTTTTCGGTTAGTAAAAATGCTCCGATTTTCTATGTCTCGTCTTAAAAAATGCCGGATTATTCACCGGGCATAACTTATTTATTTAAAAACATGTCTAGATTACCAACAGTTTCCCTATGAAATGTAAAAAAGCTCAAAACTTTTAAAGACTTTAAAGACCAGACCGCAATGAACTCTGATTTTCAATATTATCATCACAAACTTTGTAACAAGTTTTTAAAGGTTTTTTTTATTGAATTTTTTTATGCCGTTATTCAAAATCAGAGTTCAATAAAATTCAGATGTTCAAGAAAATAACATTAAATAGATTTCAACCCTTAATATGAGTACGGGTCAACTGCGGTAGCAAATCGTATTTTGGTAGTACCGTGTCGGTTTTTGTGTATTAAATTCATTTTTTTCAAACGACCGCCGGGGTTTTCTTTTTCTTTTTTTTTTTTTTTCTAAATGCCCACGCGCGTCGTTATTCCGACCCGCGTCCATACACAAACAGCGACTGCGACCTCGTCTCGGATCTCCCAAACGGTTCCCTCCGCCGCCGCCCCCCCCCACTCTCATCCGACGTCGTTCCCCTGACCGTCAAGAGGGCCGCGCGAGGAGAAAAAAAATATCAATACCTCTAGAACCGCGCGCAAATCCGAATCAAGGAGGAAGGAGAGGGGGAGGGACGGGCGGGGGCGCGTCCCACGGGCGTATATACAATAATAATTACACGAATAATTGGTTCCAGCAACGTATTGCGCCGAATTTATAATATTAAACGTCCGGATTGTATAGAAACGCGTGCGATCCGTTGAAATTGTCTGGTTTAACGATAGGACATGCAGATTCAATAATTGTTATAATTATTATAATGTCGGTACGATTAAACGAATACATTTCGTACTTATGTGTTATAATAAATAATATACAATTTTCGTTTTTTTATCGCTCGTTTGAACGCTGTTTGAACGCGATGTCGCGGTATCAGCGGCCCCTTATAATATACACGCTCGTTATTTCACGGCCCGTCGTTTATTGTAACAAATTATAATAATAAAAAAAAAAAAAACAGAATAAGATAACATTATAATAATTTTTATTATAGAATGTGGACAGCAGATGGCACACGGACGATAAACGTTCGAATATCTAGGGGAACGTTTCGTTACGATTTCGATACGCGGCCGGACGCGCGGAAATGTATAATAAAACATTCTATTCAAAGACGTGTGCGGCGCAATCTTTTACGATATCCGACGAGATCCCGGTTGTTATAATCTCGTATAACGACGCCGCGTGTAAATAGTAACGATTACGATGTGAATATTGGAAAAAAAGGTCTTTACTTTTAAAGGTAAAGAATTTCCGGACGCCATCGGATCATTCGCGAGTAAAACGTGTAGTGTATTTTATAATCGTTTTATGGACCTTCGTGGTGCTATAAAATTTGAAAAAAAAAAAACCTCCCGTTTACAATCATTATTCTATTTATTTTCGGTGCGTACGCTCATTATCCAACGATAGATTTCTATACGAATCGTCTACGAATTGGTCTACAGACACGTTGAACAGCCGTGACCGGTAAACGGTTTTCGGTACTCTTCTTGTCTGTGATACCTGCTTGAATAATGTATTGTTTTTTTTTTTTTTTTTTACTGTGAAAAACAAGATATCGAGAAACACCAATCCCCTATAATGCAACGAAATGCGACAGAATTTTACAATTCATTCCGACCAACGGAATATACACACTAAACAATTATTACGATTGTGTGCATCGTATTATACAGAAAAACCGTTCGGAAAATAACTGTGTAGATTCCGACACACGGGACAAACACACTAACAAACCGTCGAAACATTATGGCGGCACGTCAAATTAAGTACGGAATAAAAACGAGAGATGCTACAAAATAACCTAGAAAAATACGTCAAAAGAAGAATATAGTGGCAAACTACCGAACTTAGTAATACCATTGAAGAGTTTTTGCCCGATATCAGAGTAGTGTACTTTTTGCTGAACAATTTTATGGATTAACACAATGGACGTGAAATTATATTTCCCTACGGGCAAATTGTGAGTGTCATCATTTGCATTACAATTTAATGATTATTAGGTGGACTAGTAGGTATTGTATTAGACTCATAGGTAGAAATTTGATTGAATTTAAGAGAGGGGGCTTTGGGGTATTTTAGCGATGAGCAGAAAAAGAAAGATGATGATTGTATCAATTATATTACAGTACATTATTATTACCTATAGGGTCAATATCATTTTGGAAGTGCTAAAATAATTAGTCATTTACTTTTTAATAATTTAAGGGGGCTATGGATGATTTTTGAAAGCTATTTGCCCAGTCCCATCCCCAATATCCGTTTATGGTTAGACTGGCCGCATATTGGAGTGTATGGGTATACATATTTCCTGGTAAGTATCGTATTAGGTATACACTGACATTTTTTCGGTAAGTTTATCGGTAAGTACTCAATTTTTTTATCTGCCTGTCATGTCGGTTCAAAACGATAATATTATATAACTACACTATACGCTTTAAGGACCGAAAATCGTGTACGGGGTTGCCTATATTGACTAAATCAATAACGTAAAAAAAATGTCCGAGTAAAAATTGCCGTATTATATAGGTACCTACCAAAATGGCCAGTGGAAAACACGACCAAATATACAAACAAAACGCGGTCAGAAGAAAAAATGTAATTTTAATATTATTTTTCGTTTGAATGTCAAATGTTTTCCGCCGGCTAATGTAATTTAATTAATTTTTTTAATATTTATACTAGATTTAAAAACGCTCCGATCGACACGCGTATATATGTATATCATTTCTTTTACGTACAAAATAAAAAAAAAAAAAATCGCTCCCTAACCAATATTAATGTTAATTAAAACCCACGTATTTTCGTTCGTCTACAATTTTTTTCTTGCGCGAATAAACGACACGCTACGTAGCTATACGCAGTTAGCAGTTTAGAATTTCTCCCCCACCCCCCCCAATACCCGCCGGTTATTAATAATATTATTCTTGTTACACCGCTGTAATCAAATTAATTTCGACGCGATTCGTACACTTTTCAGTAAGAATTTGTACGGCTGTGCACCTATAATGTATTTCAATCCAATCAGAATATTCGACACGAATTGTTTAAAAATGAATCGATCTCATTTTTTTAATTTTTTTTTGTCCGCGTATAAAATCATAAAAGGGCCCTAGCTTTTAAGAGTCGTGTTTGCGCCCGGGCGCGCGTATACACGGACAGACCAGTCTTTGAGCCCGGAGATTCGATCGCACGGACCAAAACCAAAACGAATAACATTAAGTCGATATTTACGTAATTAATGTAACCATCAAGAAACCGGGGTGGGGGGGGGAGGGAACCAAATTCGATCAAGGGACCGTCACGGTGGTATAGTTTGACAACTTGGTCTACGAAACATATAACGTGTTCGCGTAAAACGCACCTACGAAAAAGCCTTTAGAGACCGGTTTTAAATACGAAACGTCCGTTATAAAAAGCGTGTGTATAAATGACAGCGTTTCGAAGACAACCTCGCCGGCGAAATCCTATGAGCATTTCAAGCGTTCATCTCCGAATGGTTTACAAAAAAAAAATCTTATACATTTTTTTTTCAAACCATAATTTACAACTCTTTTAATAAATTATAATATTTCGAAAAAAAAAACGCCGACGAGTTAGTGTCTTCGGAATACGGCCGTCTACAATTATTAATAATGCGGGTTTTTTTTTTTTTTTTGTTTTCTTAATTTCCTTCTCGTCTCGGTCGGTTTAGACTGTGAATTTCCCGTATTTGTTTTACACGGCGCGTGCGCGTGTTGCCGTATTCGATTGCCGAATGTTGTCCGTTGCGCCGAATACGGCGGATTTCCGCGCGCGCGTATATAGTGTGACCGGGTCTCTTAAAAAACGACGCGCGGCAAGAGCGAAAACCGAACGGAAGGAGGTTGACGATAATTTTCAACGCACGCTGCCGTAATCATACAGATCGTTAATGAAGTGTTCCGTGCGCGCATATTAACGCGGGCTCGCCAATCGAATCGTTAAGCGCTTAAAAAACCCGTAGAGCACGCCGTGACCGTAGCGAATGCACATCACCGGCACGCACGGCGAACGGTAAACGACAAACGACAATAATCGTGTCTGGCGCGCGGCCGGAATGCGATCAGACTCGGCCGGGAAACAGTGGCGATTATTTTGGCGACTTTTTAAAGGGGATGGGTAGGGGGAAATGGGTCAACGGTTCGAAAATGATAAACGAAAAAAATCACAGGTCGTAGGGCCCCCGTAACATTTCCCCGGTATTTCGGAAATTCACTTCATCGCAGTCATTACCGTGGTTAAATTTACCGCGGCTCGTTCGATTATTTATTATAACCAGGAAGAAAAAGGACCGAGGTGGGCAGGGCCGGCGGTCCACCTAACGTCTCCTCCTCGTGTAACCACCGCTGCCGGGAAACGACCGGAATATACGAGCGGCATTTATCGACTGCAGTATAATGTGCACGGACCGATCGATCGAAACGTACAGCTGCGAAAATCGTGAAAAGATCACGGCCCGCAGTGTTTTAGGCCCTGTAGTTTCGGGCGCGTCTACATTCGGTTTCTGCAGTTATAATAACCGATATAAGACACCGAGTGGTATAGAATAGTTTCAATATTCTTGTGTTTTCGGATAAACTGCAATACGATATATTTCGTGGTCGGATTTTGTTTTCCAAAAACAAGCTAATATAGCTAATATATTCGTCTAGTACTAATTTGTTTGCCGGGCACCGGTCGTTTTACGGTCGGATTTAAAAATTAAAAACATAAATATATTTCGGACATTTTTAATGTTCTTTTTCCGCCTATACGTTTAAACGGCACGCGAGGCGCGACAACACCGGACACGATATTGTATTGTTTTCATAATGTTATTATTATTCGCTCATTAATTATTTTACCTAAGTGCCTATTTCGTGCAGACCGACCGTTTAATACTCGTTTCGTTTGTTTTTTTTTTTTTTTTTTTTTAAATATATATTATAAAAATTGTTATATTTTTTTCTATATGAACATAAAACAACAAACGGACATACTACGTACGATGGGTCGGCCACTGATGTGGATGAGAAGTTGAGAAGGTTGAGGGGAAATTGAATGCATATCAGTATGCAACGATTAACCATTGTTAACGAAAAACGATCCTGAGCGGAGTTCGACTATACACGTTTTGAAAGGCCGTAATATTTACGAATTGAAAATAATAAATTTCGTGCATTTTCCGATTTTTTACGTTTTTTTCCATTTTATCACGAAAGCCCATATGAAAATCAAAAAATGTCTTCCCTAAAGGACCATCTCGGGAAAATTTCCTTTCAGAAAAAGTGCTATACTTGTGGTGGAAAAAAAAATAAATAATAAACATCACCACGATATATTATATCGCTTGTTAACTGTTTTGTTTTCAAACGTTTTGCCTCGGAGTATAGTAACACAACGGATATAACGTTCGGTATACCTAATCGGAAATGCAACCTATAGTAACGCGCGAGTACGTGTACTTGGTAAAAAAAATCGGGACTAAGGAAGAATCATAATAGTGCGGATGAAGGTGAAACGGAATTTGAACGTGAATTTACTCAGTACTCGATGGAAACTCGCGGGGGCTAATCTCCGGACCGTACCGTCGGGCGAGGCCTTTAAAGGGGGGAGGGGGGGTGTCGCTTAAAAACCGACGTCCCCCGGGGTTGCCAAACGGCACAGCTCCGGTACTCTTGATACGGCGACAGTATCGGAATTCTCGCGGGTATAGCCCACCCCCCCCCACCCCCACGGGACCGCGTTTCGGCGACAAGACACAACGGTAAATCGAGCGACGGATAAAACGTAGCGAACGCGCCACGACAATTACCGCGCGCAAACACGACCGCATCGCGCGATGCCGCACGTTATTGTCGTGTACGGGCAGAATAGCAAAATAACGTGTTGCGCGACGGTAATGGTGTCACGTCCGTTTTAAAAGCCCGATAACCGTATAACATACGCGTTTGATCGTAACCAACACGCGGCCGTGGCATGCGATTGTCCGGTTAACGCGGCGGCCGAGAAGAAAACGAGGATGGGACGGGGGGATCGGTTTCCTTACCCCATCCGTTCCCCCTCAAAAAAAAAAAATAATAATAATAATAAATACGTTACCGGTTCGGTTTTGACGGTCTAATAACAATGACAAAGGGTCAACCGCGGAAACGGCTATACGTCACAATATTAATATTACGCGCCGCGTTACATTATTATTATTATACGGGTATACGCTTTATATTGTAATTATAATATTGTGCGCCATGACGAAAACCCGCCCGCCGACGACCGGAAACAATCGCCGCTCGTTTCGTTTAAAATAATATACAATATGGACGGTCGTTTACTGAATTGCCCAATACACCCAGCTACAATACCTTCCGAACTTCCCGTTCACAGTCGCCTACCCACGGTACGTTTTTAACAGGTAATTTGTTTAATTTCCTATGTATTTTTCTCAACAGATGGGAAAATAACTGTCAGTTTGTCGTATCGGCTTTTTCGCTGGTTTCCGGGTTACCCCAATAATACTCCGCCGTTAATCGTTTTTCATTAGCGGCGGTTTACAGTCGCGTACGCGGATACGCGAATCAAATTACTCCATAACACATCATCCGTACCAACAACTGTCCTCCGATAAGTCACAGTAACATACCCGTCGACAAAAGGCAGTACGTCGGTCATTTTTCGACTTTACTGCTCTCCGGTTGGAACATGAATCCGCCAGGAGAACACCGCCGCGCGCACCACGACAAAATGACGCGCTGTCGCCCGTCGTCGTTTACCGAGATACGTAAACAAAACGAATCCGCGAGCGCTTTTCCCCCGGCAACGGCGCGCGGTTGGAGAGCATTTCTTTTTCGCGACCGACAACAAATTATACGTGTCCCCCCCTCCCCCCGCAATACGCCTTTGCGAAAATATAACCGTAACCGAAACGTTGGGGTTTTCTCGGCGCGGTCAAATTAGTCCGTTCAACAATACAATCGCGACGGTACACAGTGCGCATCGGTACGGTACGAGTGTCCCGCCGCACGCGCGTACCGCTGCACAGAGGCGTTGCGCGCCGTTGCGCAATTACATTTGCCGTCGCCCGATACACGCGCGTTGTAAGTTGACGAACCCCGACGAAATAACAACCATATCGTATTTATGTCCGGCCGGACACGACGCGGCGAGCGCCTTCCCCCCTACCCACCCCACCCCGTTCCACCGCGAAACCGTTGCGAATAAAAAAACGCCCGCTGCGGTCCCGCGCGTCCGAAAGGCTTCCCCGGTTGACCTTTGTCGGGCCGCGGGATGACTGCGAATCGATACGCGATACAGGACTGGCCGGTGCAGCCGCGGTGTATCAATGAACAATAACGCGCCTGCTGTACATAAAAAAAACCGTCGCGAATTTTTCTCGTGGATATTTCCCCTAGAGGAAACCCTCCCGCCCTCCCCTCCGAAAAACCGAGCAAAATCGTACATTTTATTCGTTTTTTAAATGACAGGGGGGTTTTCTTTTCTTTTTTTTTTTCTTTTTTTATAGGAGCGTTCGCCCACGATTCGTACACTTCACGCGCCGCGCCGGCCGTCGAACGATCTGTTAGGAAAAAGCGTAAAAACGAGTGCTTTAAGGGGTCCGCTGCACAAAAGCAAGACGCTATTATTATGTTTGGAGAAAATCGCGTTTCAACGCGACATCACGGTCGGTGAAAATTGTCCTCGTGTTTTTTCCACGCGACAGCGAGACGGAAGTCGTAGAGTTCTGGAATATCAAGAAAAAATATTGCAACTCCGTCGTGGTTGAAACAAAAATCTTAACGAAACGTGACAGAATAACTGCAAATCAAATTGAATAAAACATTTTTTTCTATCGCTACGATAACATGTAGAGTTCAATTAATTTTAAAATCAATGTGATTGTTGTGGAAACTGGTCATGATTTGAAATACGTTTCCATTAGTTTATTTTTCAGCCGTCTTATTTTCGCACGGGCCCCTTTTTTTGTTAGTAGTGTTAATAAAATAAGCGTTATGACGTAAATTGGTTTCTTCGGTGACGTCGTTAAGGAGATTCGAAACGACAACGCACACGCAGCATAGCGATTTATGCCGGTTTCTGGTACCGACAGATTTAATGGACCGATACGAGTTCTGAAACAGATACGAATTCAGTGCGAAGTGTACAATGAACCGTTGTTATCAATTTTAATTTAGTTTTTGTTATGTACATTTTTAAATCAAATTTTTGGAAATTAAGAACTAAAATTCGGAAAAGTTGGCTGTCGATCTCACTTAAAATTCGCGCTGAATTCAAATCTGTTTACAGAATTCCATTATCGCTTGACTGTTATGCATTAATCTTATTAATTTAAGGAAAATCGTTCTAAATTGCGTTCGACAAAGAAAGAAAATATCGTTACCAAATCATTTTAAAAGCACATTTTTAACGAAATAGTCCAAAATAATTGTCCGAATAGACAACAATTCGGTCTAAATATTGCTATACTGTTTGTGTGTTGAACAACGGAAGACAAGAAAATCCCCGTTCCGTTTCGAATCTCCTTCAAAGGATACCCTTCAGATCACTCTAGGTCCTTCTCACAAACGTGCAACATAGAAAATTTGGCGATCGGCAGGACCAATTTTATGCTGTTCGTTATCGTTACCCTTACCAAACTTAAAGGTAAGAACATTATTATCTACAGTGTTTGTACGTAGTTTTTTTTTCTCAACATTTCGATTTTTAGTCTAGATGTAAGCATTTTAAAAATCATTTTGATATTTTACACACTCGTATCTAACTTAAAAATGTCTTATTTAAACGTCGGAAAAAATATTGATTGACTCGCTCTAATATTAAAATGAAGAGCACGAAATTAGTTCTGCTTACCGCAAATTTGCTGTGCCCTGTGTTTATGAAACGGAAATAGCACACGTGGATACGACATCCTCTTAACAAGACTCCATACCCGCATCTACTGTCTCAGTCTAACTAACGGACAACATTACAAAATTCAGTGACTTTGGACATAAATTATGATGTTTAAGTCGAAATTACAGTTTAAATACAAATAAAACAATTCAAAGAGAATATTGCAGAGGACAGTACGTAGATTTTTTTGTTTATTTGTCTTAGAAAATAATTAAAACCAACATAATGTTTTGTTTTCTTTAAATAGCTATAACTAATTTTTATGAACATATTTTAGAAAAAAGCCTTCGAAAATATTCTGTACTTTAAATTTGTATTATTTGTGTTCAAGTTCTAAACTTGAACGTCACAATTTACGTTTTAAACGACGGAATTTTAGTATATTATCCTTCAGTGGAACGAAACAATGGATGTGGCTGTATTTTTCTCTTAAGAGGCCATCGAAGTTTCATTGTATTGGTGCTCTGTCTTCCAAACGGGCAACGTAGCAAAAACGTATTCGCGTGAAACAAACCAAAAAGAAAATCGATTTTAGACGAAGAAAAAAAACTACCTAATATTATACAATTTGACAACGATTTAAAGTCATACCCCGTTAGTGTTTTAAAGTTTTCTAAATATTCAGTAATACTCGTTATATTATATTACGGTTATTCATTTTTTTTTTTTATAGATATATATATATATAACCATAGCACGTTTAATACTGAATATTTTTGAAAACCCCCAAAGACCGTTTGTCTTCTAAACGTCGTCGTCGATAAATTATTTATTAACTAGATGTTTTATCTCTAAACCCGATTTTCAAAAGCCTTTTCGTTTACGTTTCACGCAAATCCGTTTTCGCTATACATATTACCAGTTATAGAAGTACATAAACGACAAATACGACTGCAACGGTCTCTTAAATCGTATAATTCCCGTTCTTCGCGACGAAGATACAAGATCAGAAGTCGGTCACACCACCACCGGTTAGTCGCACTCGTATCAACACAACATTGTCTATTAGTATTGTTATATAAAAAAAAAAAACACTAAAATTCTAAAAGCCGTTAGTGCGTGCTGCAAAATACACTGCAAGAAACACCGAGCCGGCTGCTCGGCCTGTACGTCTGATACATAAAATTTAAACGCAGAAAAACAATCGATGATATCCTAAAATGTATGAGCTCACGGACCGAAATAGAGATAGACAGATTCAAAACGAAAAAGTAATCATTTCACAACAATATTAGAAATTAGAAAGACCCGGAAAGTGAATTCTGCACTCTATAATTGGGCTTTAAATAACTAGGCGAAGAAAACAAGAAAAAAGGACGGACATAGTTCGCACGTGGACGGAGCTACTGTTGTAGAAGGGAAGTTGGGTACGTAGAATACAGACACAATCATAAATTATTGCAAAAGTTTATAAAGAGGGGGGGGGAATGGGTAAATAAAACAAAAAATTATCATCTTGTCTATATCGAATCGTCTGTTTCGTTAGTCACGATCAATACATTAAATAATGATATTGTAATTTGTTTTTATTCTGAACGTATCCCGAAATGTATGACCAGGTTTAACTGTGCTTTTTTTACGTCTGTAAATAATTTTCCCGATATTCAATTTTGCTCAGCGGGTGCGTCGGAGAGGTCATTTTTCGATTTTCCTTCTCTATATAACGGTAGGAAAACGGGAATACATAATAATCGTACGGACCCGGGACTTTCGCCGGACACATTCTAGACGCGGCACGATTTTCAAAACGTTCCGGCCCGTTTCGAATCATGCATCAATATGGCAATTTAAAATTTGTTCGGAAATTTGAAATTGAATACGTGTACAAAAATGTCGCGATTAATTTTCAATTGAAACCGATATCGACCGAACCTAATCGAACAATCGCGCCTCGGAATTTTACTCGCAGAACCGCCCAGAAAGATCTGTTCGGGGGTGGGGGAAGGGAGCGAGGAGGGGCCGAACGAAAAACGACTTTTGCCGGGGCGTAAGTGGCGGACTAATAATATATAACGCTCCCGGAGACTCTCATTAATCATTATTATAACGTTATTTTAACGTTGTGTATAATATTATTATTATTTTTTTTTTATCGGCGGGTATGCATTTCGACGACTACGCGGTAGGTAACGAACTTTTGAGCACGAGCGGTTCAATGGTGGCGGAAAAATCAAAAGAACACGTGGCGCCGTTCGCCCGTATACAATTCGTTGCCGCCGCTAACCCCCCCCCCCCCCCCCCCCCNCCCCTCCCCTCCCCTTCCCTCCGGACGACGACGGCCGTATCATCGCGGTATAATATTATATTGTTATTGCGCAACAATGACAACAACGACGACGGCAATAATTACTTATACATTGTCAGGAAAACGAAAGGGAAAAAAAAGAAACGGGGCGGCGAAAAGAAAGAGAACAATAATAATACAGCACTGTCGACACGGAATACACCCTATACGGCTACGGGGTGTGACGAAAACAACGACCCGGCGGCTAACTTTACAATATATACGAGGCAGCGAGTCTTAGACGGAGATAGTTTATACTCTCCGCGTGATGGGATACCATATTCAATCGATTTTGTTCTCGGATTAGAAAACTTTTCACTCTCGAAGCACGGCGGACTTACGGGAAGTCGCGAAAATCAGCTCTTACGAAAATCGTATTATTTCTGTTTCGTTTATAGACGTCCCGGGCAAGAATGGGGTACGCGTCAATTTCGTATGCGAATTAAACTGTGAAAACACACTATTTTACGTCGTTTAGACCGAATAATAAAGGGAAACCGACAGAGTGAGACGAAATCGCAAAAATCGACTCGAGTCCTCATTCCCCGGGACCAATGATGCGCCGTGTTTTATTTGTTCCCGAAACGGATACGCACGATTGTCGGTCTGTGTCTAGTCGCGGAGGAAAAATGCGAGACTAACTATAATACCGGGAAACGTTTTCGTATAAATATAATAACAAATATTATTACGTTCAGCCCGGTAAACCCGCAAAGCATTTTACCGAAATCGTGAGGACGACGGAATACGTCGCGGGGTCCGGTACAGATCTGTCGAAAATTTACATAATAACGGTATCTGGGTGTGTGACGCGTGTACGACACGATTCGGGACGGATCGAATGGATACTGTTGGCCGTCGAAAAGCGCAATGTTGTTAATATTATTTACGCGAAAACGAACGAGTGCTGGGCTGCAGTATTATTATCGGCCGGGTTTGCGCGCGCACGAGAAGCCCCGCGGTTTTCGAATTTTAAGGGCAAATTTCCCGTTCGAACAGCTCCGAAATCGCTCCTGGAACCCATACGAAAACTAACCGAAAGACACGTTCAGACGGCCACTATTGGATTCGATTTGTTCACGTATATCGTTTTATCGAACCCGAGACTGCGTTTCACTCGGCCGTATTCGAACTTTTTCGATTCCGTTTTTACGGACTTTGAGCCACGCAGCCATTGTCGGCAGTGCGCACACGATCGTTATCATCACGGACCCGCGCGTTCTGTTTCTTTCACACCGGTACAGACGTTTGCAAGTTTTTGGTAAAACGACAACACCGAGTATATTATAGACTCGACCCACGAACTGGGCCGTTCTTCGATAATTAACGAAATAAATATAGCTCGATCGATACGCCGGGAAATCGTCTTCGGTCTTATTGAAATATTAGAAGAAACAACCACATTCAACTTCCCCCAGCAGACGAAAACGGACTCGGGATTCGGTAAAACGTTGTTCTTCTAAAAAAAAAAATCAATATAATAATAATAAACACTACTTTGTCGCGTGTTTGATAAAAATATATTGGACGTTACCGGACCGTGGTGTATTCGGGAAAAAATATTTCACCGGCCGGGCCCTAATAGTGTGAACACATATGGCGAGTATCGTATCAGATACTCGCCACCACTTCGATAAAATCCCGCACACACGGTGTATCGTGAAAATTATCGCTATCTGAACGCGCGCAGTCCTGCAAATGTAAATTTCCGGCGAGAAATCGGCACCGCTGTTGTCGAGCGTGTAAACGCCAAGTCCCAAGACCCGCCGTGTCGCCTTTAATGAACGGCTCGCGGTTATTGCGTACGGGGTTTTTTCGGGGGTATTTTTTTTTTCTAGGAGTGGGGAAGACGTATGTTATTTTACGTAATTTTAAAACCGTAGTGTTACATTATAATGCCGTGGGATCGGAATCGACGACGGCGGCGCCGCGACCGCGCAGCAACGCGGCGTCATCACGCGACACGGCCCGTATTGGTCGCCCAAATCGACTTCATTAACGAGGATTTATGGATCCGGCGGCGCGACGATGGCCGGAAACTGCGCGTCACCTGCGGGCTCCCCCCCCGAAATCTCGCCGCTGGCGAAAAACGCGATATCGTTATCGACGCGATTTTCACTATTGCGCGCGGGAACAATCGGTGACGGGAAAACGTTTTGTCGGCACGCGACCGGCCGCGAGGAGACGTACACGGGCGACAGGAAACGTGCGCAGGCCGGACGTCCGGCGTACGCGAAAAACGGACGGCCGCGTAGCGGAATCCGGGGGCAGGGGATAAAGTCGCGCTGAGAGGAGGGGCAGGAGGGACCGAGTCACCGGCTCTCGCTGTACGAGACACGGACGACAATCGTTAAGCGCCGAAGATTGACGAACTCGTTTGACGCAATCTTCGAAATCGCGGCGCACCGCGGCCGCGAAGTGCTTGCGTGTTTCAACGAAAGCGAAAATAACTCGCGCGAGCGTATCCGATTTTGAAAACCGTTCCTTATGGCACCGTAGTAATTTGCCCGGTTCAATTTCATTAATGTATACCGAGCCATGCCTGTTATATTATAGTTTTTATGTATTTTATTTTTTTTCTGTAATTCGTTGCGTACGTATTTGTCTAACCGACGGAAACGTGCAACAACAGTGTCCCGAGGAGCGTGAAATTATTCATCTACGGGGATCGCATGTACCCGTTGCCCCGCGTCGCGTCGCTCGAAGCCCCGGTTGTTTCGGAACCCGAGCGTCTCTACGAAGGAAAACAAACGCATTGGAAAAATTTTTTTTCTAGAAAATTCGTGTACATCGTCCAAGGGAAACGCAATATACCGCACGGGGTGCTGTACGCTAACAACGATAATATATTCAGAGACGAAACCGCGGAACGACGGCGCGGGATAACCGCGTTTCCGGCGGGCCGAAGGCGCACGAGACGTCGCGTAGACACTTTGGGGGTTGGGAGGCGCAGGAGATCGCGCGGACCCGGGGCGGCCGGTACCAGATGTTACGGTCGCGGCCCTACGGGACCGTCTTCCGACTTACCTAGGGTGATGGGCAGCTCCCGCCATCTAGTCTTCTTGCCCTTTTTGCCCATTACCAACGGCGCATGTGTCGCGCTGATCCGGTTACGGGCGTCGTCGTCGGAGTGGAGCGATCACTCTCGGGTCGACCGGACCGGTGTAGGTAGGTTGTAATGCGACGCGTACCGGACGGATGTAACGATCGATTAATTGGATGCAATATTATTTATACTGTCGTACCGTTGGATCGCGGTAAAAGACGCCGTGCGATTGCGTTTACCCGTCGGAAAAACGGCGAGCCGGCCCGATACGCGATGAAGACGTACACACTGCACCGTAACCGTCCGCGGACGTAACTCGAGAGTCGCGCAGTATCGCGTCGTAACTGGCCGACGTACCGGAGGGAACCGGGCGTAGTCGTCGTCGTCGCCGTCGTCGCCGTCGTCGTCGTAGCGCACGCACACAAACGCGCACAAACTCGGGGCCACCGACGACAGATAGACACGGCCGGGGCGCTCGGTCGGAACAGCGTAGCGTATACACGGCCGCCGGTCTCGGGGGCGGCGGCGGCGGTGGAGATGGCGGGAGCGAGTCGACGAGTGCGCGCGCGACGGCTGCCGACGGAATCGAGCGGGCTCCCCGACGGAATCGGCCGCGTTCATCGAGGTAGCGCGCGCGGGACTCACGGGCCGCCGCCGCCGCCGCCGCCGCCGCCGCTACCACCGCCGCGCCGTCCCGATCGCTACCGTCGTCGCCGCCACGCCGCCGCCGGGCCTCCGGGCCTACATAATCTTCGGTATAAGCGGAGCGGGCGCCCTTACGGCGGTCCCCGCTGCCGCGCGAACGCTACCGTCTTCAAAAAGATTTTCGTCGCCACGCGGACATCCGCGTTGGAATTTCGGCTATTTAACTATCGCCGTAAAACAACAACAATAACAAATAGGTCCCGTGTCGCGTAGGTAGCGCTAGATAACGCAGTAAACAGGAAAAATTACCCATTTTTAATATTATGTTGCGGACAATTTTTTTTTCTCTAGATTATGGAATGCATACCGAAAAACCTTATTATTTTACCAAAACGTGTTGGTTTTCTCTCTCGGGGAGAGAACGATTTTCGTATTTTCTAAGAAATGCTCACAATTATTCACTCGGTATTCCTTTTTTTTGTAATTCCAGATTTTTCGCCCGATGGGTTTCTTAATGAACGGGATAAATCGTTTGTAATAATTTTTGTCGATTTTCGGGTTACCTTGGCGACATAGGAGAAATACGGTTTATGTTTACGTGTTCTTGTCGTCTGCCAGTGATTACCCGAACATTTCCATTTAGTTTCTACGCCCCTGGACGGAGTAACATAGGAGGGTTGTTTTTTTTTTTGTTATTTATGACTTGTTCGTAGGTCACCCGTAGGCTTTCATCGCGAGTCACGAAACCCGCGAGCGAGTCGCCCCACGTTACCGTGCACCCGGTTTGTTCGATAAACGCGCCAACGAATCAGTGGCGTACCTAGGCCTCTCTTACGAGAGGGGGGGGGGGGGGAAGTATATTTTCAACCATTCTTAAAATAGAAAACTTCTTAAAAATGTAAAAAATATATTACAATACACGCATATTGTCCAATATAATTATACGACCCACGGGAAGAGGGCGAATACCCCCTTCGCCGCCGCCCCACAGCTACGCCACTGCGACGAATTGTCGAATCGTTCGTAGTTCGTATTTGGAATCGATTTCGTTAGGTAATAAGCGTGAAACTGAGCGCCAACCGATCATTGAATGGGTTGTCCTAGACTGATTCGGCATTTCGAAAGTTCTATAATTTAGTCGGTGTTTATTATACGTATCAATATTATATTATCAGTATCAAACCCCCCTTTAAAAAAGTAGAAAAAATAAAAATGTCTAGTATATTCTAAAATTTAAAATGTTTAAAATGTTAAAATGTCGGACTGCCGACGATCCAGAAGACCAAACCCCCTTCTAATAATTTTGACACAACTTACAGCACGAGTGCCGGTGCACCTATAGTAATAATGTGATCGCGTTGTCGTTGTCTACCGGCATAATATTACTTCCGTTAAATTGATTACGCAGACAACGGGTAATTATTGGTGTACAATTATCGTTCGCGACGATATTAAACATCAAATTAACCGGACCGTGTGATATACCGTGGGCTCGTACGCCGAGGTTCGTCAACAATAAAAAAAAAAAAACAAAAAACAAACTACCACTAGAAAACCTATTAGCGTTCTCCGCCTTCCCGAATTTTTTTTTAACGGTTTCCACTGGCACGGTGCGGAGAATTCACTACTACGGGTGGAACACGAAAAACCGTCATCTTGCAATCACTCGTAGGTAGTTATTGATAGCAACGATTTATTTTTTTATTTTATGTTAAACATTCATAACTGCTATTTTTAATTCATTTTAGTGTTATAACATATTATAGAATACAATCTGGAATGAACGATTGCATATATTTCGATATATTTTATTAATCGGTTTGTATCAGTATAGTGATAACAACCGTCTATAAAAAAACAGACTCAAAAAGCTCATACGCCAGTTCGGCCCTAAATGTTGGACACTCATGCAGTTTTCCAAGATGGAACGCATTGAACCGGGATAATGCAAACACACGTGGAAAACGCAATATGAGTTATACTATAAAAGTGTGATCGACCACACTTGATGCGCGCTCATCGGCTCTATCTGATCTATAATATCCCAGGTGCGTGTTTAGGAATTTACCGTGGTGTGGACGGATTTTCTTGAACACAGAGCCGTGCGGGTCTTTACTCCCATATCCTCTAACCATACACCGTACATTCAATACTAACTTTCAAAAACCTAATTCAGTAAAAGAAATTCAATATAATGTGTATCACCTTGTCCACTGGCGCGCCGGTCTTATTATGGTTAACTGTTGTTGTATTTCCTTGCCCGTGAAAACTATGAATTCTATCCACGTCGCCCTCAATAATATGACCAAAAACATAAATGGAATTTACGAACCAAAATTACCAAACACCCTGTGTGAACCATCCGTTTTTCCGTACGTTAAATTTTCAAACATCTGCGTACGATACCATGGTTCACTACGCCACTGGGTAAGCGGCTGTTTCTGAATTTTATTGGCTGGATGGGTGAATTTTTATGAAATTTGAATGATTAGGAAGGCCACATTCCCAAACGCATGTGCTGTAGGTATTATAACGCCTATAGGTATTGTAAAAATTGTGAGTTGAAGCGGTTGATTGTTGTACACAAATAATTGTTTGCTGCTATATATTATTTAAAATTTTGTTCGAATTTAGCTGGGAAAATGCAATTACCTATTACACAAATGGGGTAAAATCTCCTTTATTAGTTGTCACCAATGGCAAACCTTCAGACATATAGTCGAACATTGTTCACTAACGAAGTTTACTGGAAGCATCCAGGAGATCCACACTACCGCGCTGGCTACCATTTAATGTGACCAACAAATTCATGAATTATACCAAAGCTAACAATTTTCATTTTTTTTTATTTATTTCAATTATCTTACTTTATTATTATGTTTATATTTTAGATTCGGAGTTTTACAATGTTTTACAATGACATTAAGATTTTATTTTTAATTTTTTTTGTTATCTGTGAACAACTTTTTTACCAGTAATCTTGCTCCGATTTTCAAGTGTAGTACGTTTACTAAAAGGAAATTTTATTTGGGCGGTACTTTAAAAAAAGTCATTATTTGATTCTCCAAGTGGTTTTCGTAATAATTTGCAAAAACGAGAAAACTTACGTACATGTATCTATAAAAAAAGAAACTTCGTTCCGAATCGTTTTTCGTTAGCAATGGTTTATCGTTACGTACAGATATAAATTGTATTCCTCTCAATAGCCTACCTTCCCAACTTCTCACCTACAACATCGGCCCACCCATCGTGCGAAGTATGTCCGTCTTTTTCTTTTTTCATTCATTATCGTTATTGTTTTTTTTTTTTTTTTTTCTAGGTGCGTATTAATATTAATATATGTGGGTATAATATTATGTATTTGCCGGAGCCATATGCTAGTATAATATTTAAAGTTCGCGACGCCACTGGCCATATAACTACTTATAGACTCGGCCGTGGACCGCGCACAAACAAATAAACAAACACTTCCTTTTATCATATTGTAGATTGCGGTACAACAATTCAGTTAAAGCAAACGAAATGGCGGTCCGTTCAATAGTGATAAGCACGAGCTGAGTTATTACTATATCATAATAACGTTTGGATATTTGATCGATTGCGGACCGTAATATTTATAATATACGGTCGTCGAGTTATTTTCCGGTCGTAGCGATTTGTTTCCGTCGTGGTAGCGCTCCGGTGCAATATTGCATCACGTGGCGTACACACGCATTCGTTTGCGTAACGGTTTGTTTTGGTTTTTTTTTTTTTTTTATCATAATTTTGAGCTAAGCGAGACAATGTATTGG